GGACCTGCTGATCGGCCTTTCTTGGTTTGGCCCACAATGAGCACAAGCTCCCTTATGTATCTACTTACCCACCAAAGGCCTTGTCTACTCAAGATGCAGTTTCTAGATTCTTGAAGTGCCCCACAGTGATGAAGAAACTTATCAAACTAATTCCTGCATGTCTGAGGGCAAGACCTGCCCCATTTTCTGGCCTAATACAAAACATTAATCTGAATATTTGTCATTTCTAGGCCCAAATTTAAACACATTTCTAAAACAATAATAATTAAAACTGTGTGGCATCAATGGGAAAGTAGACAGATATCTTGATATTCATAAGAGAATTTAAAATATACCTTAAAAATCTGGTACCATAATACAACATGGAAAGAATCCTCAATAAATGACCGGAGGATACATGTCTGGTGATTTTGGGAAAAATTTGGCTTTGAGCCATTTCTCATCACACATACACCCACACACATTCCAGGAGGAATACTAAAGGAGTTAAATATTTTTTAAATAAAAGCAAAACCTTAAGAGACTAGGGTAAAAAAACAAACAAATATGGAACATCTGGAGGAAGATTTGTTTTCTGGGTTTAGAAAAAAGTAGAAGAAATCACAATGGCAAACAAATACCAACAGATTTTACTATATAAAAATAAGAAGTTTCTGTTAAAATAAAAAAAAATGGGGGGAAATATTTGCAGAAAATCTGATGGACAAAAGGCTTAACTTTTTATTTAAGAAGAGCCCAGGAATATGGGTAGAAATGACATTAGAGCTGAATAAACAGAGAGACAGAGCAGGAATTTACAAATGATTAACAGGACACTTGGAAGAATATTTAGTCTCAGTGAAACATGGGGAAATGAAAATAAACAGTCTAATGCCACCTTTTTATAAAGGTGCACATTAGCACAGCCATTGTTTGCTGGCACCCAGCAGTGCACGGCGCAGCAGAACCGGTTCTCTTACACATCACTGCTGGCACCAAAATCTAGCCCAAGTCTGTTGGAAAACAGTCTGTCAACACATAGTCAAAGACTTAAACTGTTTCAGAAATTCCACTTTCAAGAATCTGTCAAAAGGAATTGACTCAAAATATGGAAAAACCTGTAAGCATGGAGAGGTACCTTACAACGTTTTTAATAAAAATGAAAAACTAGAAACTGCTTGATGGTCATCCACAAGGAAATGGTTCAGTAAGTTATGATGTATCCCTTTAGAGAATTGTGCAGTCATCAAGGTGAGTTGAAAGCCTAGTTAGCAATATGGAAACCTCTGTAATGTGAACTGAGAAAAACAGGAGATGACGGTGTTACAGGATCTGATCAGAACTATGTAAAACATGCATATGGAGATGCAAGTGTGAATACTTGTATTCAGAAAAATAACGATTACTGATGCATTGAAGTGGTTATATTTAAGGCGGTTTTTTTCCTTCCTCTTTTGCTAAAATTCTGCATCATGTTATCATGTTGATCAATTTAAAAATAAAATAAAATAAAACAAAATTTTATTGTGGCCCGGAGGGGATAGGAGGTGGAGGCAGACACATGGAGGCGGCACTTTTGGCGGACGGGACCCTTGCAAGTTCCTTTCTTGCACAACAAGCAGTGCCACAGAGCAAGGTCAGATGGGAACCCCAGGCTCCACGCGGTGGGCTCAACAGAAGAGGGAAATTAAAATCCAGCTACAAACGCCAGGGAGCTGTCAGGTCAGAGCGACCCGCAAAGCATCAGAACTGGGAGGGGCTTTAGAGACGGCTGAGCTCACCTTCTTCTCCCTCCGCTCGAATACACAAACATAAAGTCACAAAATAGGCAAGGGAGGCCCAGAGTGGCCGAGGGACTTGCTCAGAGTCACACAGCAAGTTCACGGCAGGGCTGGACACGGGTCCAGGCCTCCTCACTCGGTACTCTCTCTCCTCCACCAGATCTCAGCTCAGGACAAAGGGAGTGGGTTTCCGGAAAAGGCTTACTGGATAGAAAACATATAATTTTTAGTTTAAAAATGCTTATTGTTAAAATGTAAAAAACAGACCGTGAAACACTTCCCACATCCCTATGTACACATCCCTTTTAGTTTTAATTGGAGCAGCATCCTGATGAACTAGCAGATTTGAACAAACATGAAAGAAAAACCACATAAAAATGTTGGCAAGGCCTAGGACTGTGATCTGTCTTTGGCCAAACAGGGGAGGAATAGACCCAAAAAGAAAAACATGCTAAATAGTGACATCGGGAGGAAGCATCCTCTTCCCGAGGACCCACCTGCCCCCCCAGAGAACCCTCAGCTTTCTGGAGCTGGGCGCTGTACTGGGACTCGGGCTTGGCCGGGGACAGCCACGTGTCCAGGGCCAGCAGCAGCACGCGTCTCTCCAGCGAGGCCAGGCCGCTGGCTGATGCGGGTCTGCAGGCGTGGCAGGCCTCCCGGAAGAGGTGTTCCAGGGCCCTGGGGATGAGTGACACCAGGCCCAGGGAAGGGTGGGACTCCAGCAGATAAATGTTTTTCAAAGATGGGCTTAAAAAGAGGAACAACCGATGACAACATTACACAATGAAGAATTTAAATTGTATCCAAAGATATTTGAATTTCATGTATTTTAAGATCAATAAGATAGCTCTTCTCATCCAGGGCACTATAAAAACTGGGAGCTCGAAGGGGCCTGAAGAGTGATCGGGGAACCCCCCAGGTTATACACTGTGCTCTATGCTTTCATGTGGACACTTTTATGACTGGAAGACACAGGGGTCTATTCCAAGGACCCAGTAAGAATAAGATTCTTAAACTTTATGTGGGAAACCTGTCAACATTCCAGTAACCATTATTTAGTCAAATTTTGAAAACAAAATAACTTAAAAGGGACTAAATATTAAACAATTTCCACAGTTAGTTTCTATTTTTCGTCTGCATTTTTATCCCCTCTTTTCCTTCAAAATGTTAATGGACAATTTTTGAATTCCGTACGTAACTGCTGGAATCATTCATGTTTGCCATAAGGATGTTATATTTTACTAAGGGATGAGACCAGAAATGATAAAATGCTTGTCCATTGGGTATTCCTTTGGAAATGCAGGATATAGCACAAGTCATGGGCCTTTCTTCACCTACACAGAAGCAAAGAACATAAATACTTCTTAAATCTGTGCAAATGGGATTCCTCTTAGTCCTAGATCTTAAAACTCACAACCTTATGGCTGGAAAGGAAAACAACTTTTGCTTTTGAGACTCGTCTGACAGGTGCTAGTGTCCATGTAGCCCCAGCGTTTCCTGCCAAACACCATTCCTGGAGTAGTGGATGCCCGCCACAGCGAGCCGCACACATAGCGGGTGTCTCAAGATGCATACAGGAGAGAAATGGGTCCTGAGGAAGGCCTGGGGAGAAGAGGCACCTGGACCTCCCAGGGCTCTTTCTCAAGAGACAAGGTTAGCATCCCAGCTGTGAGACCCCATGGCACCCCACTGGTCCCCAGGATGACACCATAGCCCACTGTGGCACTCTGCTACTGGAAGCCTGCCTGCACCCCTGAACTGTACGCGTCAGAGGGGCTTAGGGCCATTCTGTGGTGCTTGCATCTGTGTCCCTACCTCCTGGTGGCCTGCCTGGCACATGCAGGTGCTCAACGCTGCTGAACGTTGGAAGGAGCTGGAGAGTTTCTCTACCTTCTTGAAAGCAATAGAGACTTTATGGGCTTGGGCCACACAGCCCTACCCAGGGCTTGCCACCCACTTCCCAGTTCCCCCTCTACCCTCAAAGGCTGGAGGGAATAGGGGGCCAGACTATATGGCAAAGAGGCGACCTAAAGTATGAACCTTCTCTGAGTGGTCTCAGGAAATTTAATTAGCTCCTTACACAGGCATGTCTGTAGAAACCTTTTTGGGGACAGTTGCTAGAATAAAGAAATTCCTTTTTGAGGGACTTTTAAGCCCATCCAAGTTTCATATATGTTGGCTCATGTGGCTCATCTGATTAAACCTTCTGATGGCATGTCAAGAGCAACTGTTTTTTTTAGGACTTCTCAAGGGAATGAAGACTCTGCACCCAGTAGCCTAAGTGTGAATTCTGGTCTCCTAGTCTTCATTACTTAAAAAGGAAACAGGTAAGTGAGGGACTCTGTCTTCTGTGGTTTTTTTATCTTTTATCTCCGCAAATACTTGAGAGGTGCTTTGTAGAATGGTATTTAGACTTAACGTCATACCCTTAACATATCTGAAAGATTAACTGTAAAATGTCTAAAGGCAACACCAATGTACCGGCTATTGTTGATAGAAATAAGTCGCTTGCGTAGTACGTTAAGGGGAAGCCCGAAGTTACTGCTATCATCTAAGCCCCCTTCTCGCCAAAGCCCCTGGACACACGCCCGCTGACGCTCCATCTAGAAATGTAGCATAAAAGTTAAAATTAGAAAGCTAGTTTCCCATGGATGTGAGTTACGAGCCTTGGAATGAGAAGAACATATTGACCTTTGCATGTCCTCATTATTTGACTGATTCTCACCCAGACGTGCTTTTGAGGATTCGCTCACACGGAGACAGGCTCTTCTCTCGGCCCCACCAAGGGTCAGCAAAGAAAAGCAGAGGCACAAGAAAACTTCTTTTCCTCAAATAATTGGCTGCAGGGAAAACGTCCAGCCAGGCCTAAGGTACACGCCCTTGACCTCTTTCGCAGTCTTGGCCTCATGCTTGCTTCCTGCGGGCAGCTTCCCCCCAGGACGCACCCTGCGAGGGGTCCTCCTGGCATCCTAAGTATGATCACAAAGTCACAGAACTAATATCATGCATTCATGTCTTGAGAAGGGGCATGTTCAGTCTGCTTTCTCACTAGATAAATTCCGTGATCCGATGAGAACAGGTTGCCCCTTCTTTGGGGACCATTAAATGGAATTAGGGTGGGAAGCCTCCCTTTAGGACTTGGAATTCGACACCTCAAATGAGCCTACTCACACCCATGCTGTCCACGCTGCTCTAGAAAACCCAGATTCTGGCCCAGAATGGAAGGAAAACGCTGCTCTGGGTTCCCGCCCGTGCCCGCCAGCTCTCACACGCAATGGTTTCGAGCCCCCGTGGACTCCCGTGCTGGCCGAGGACACCGTGCAGCGGCCGCAGGGGGAGCCGCAGGCAGGCGCACTCGTCTTGGTAGGCCATAATGACGCAAGGGCGGCTGACGTCAAACCGCGGGTGCCTGTGCATGACGTCATTGATCACCTGAATGACGTCAGTGATCACTTGAGCTAAGGCGACCCTCTCCTCGGGGTCCAGGACGTGCTGGTGGGCTTCAAAGCAACTGCTGAGGAGCTGCAAGTAACGCTGGTGAGTCAGGGCAGAGCAGAGGCGGGCCCGGCCCTGCAGAGAGAGCTGCGGCCCCCCTGCTCCGCGCTCTGCAGGCCCCCAGCCCCCCAGCAGGAGGGAGACAGCCCCGGGCCTCCGGGTCTGCCTGGTGCCGCCAGCTGCAGCTCAGAGGGACGCCAGGCGGGGACGCGTGTGCCTCGGGCCTCTTCCCCGCTCTCCGCAAGCAGAAGGCATATCTGATGAACAGGGTGACATGGGACAGTTACAAGCTCCAGCGCGACAGTGCATTCGATGTTACATCACCAGGTGTACTCACCTCTGACCCCTTTCTCCCAGGCCCATTCACCCGCCCCCATTTTACTCCCCTCACCCAAGGTAGGGAGCAGCCTCCTCCCCTCTTTTACATCCTCAGCACCATTTCTGACCCTGTCTCTTTAATAGTTTGCCCAGATTTCACCTATGCAGAAATGATGGTGAGGAGAGCATAGAATGGAAGGTCGAGGGCACAAATTCCCTGAAATACAAAGGCGTTTATCCCAGGGTGGCTGCAGATCCCCCCTAAATACAAGCATTTACCCCAGAGGGAAACGTACCCACTGGGAAGGGCCTGGTGTGCAGAACCTCAGAGCATGGAGGGGGCGTATCCTAGCAGGGTCCCCAAGTCTTTTCTAAAACCCAAAGAAAGCTTCTAGACTAACTGTTGAAGGGGGTTCTTAGAGTGGGAACCAGAGAGATGCTTATGTACCTGTCTGTTGGCTGAAGGAGTTTCTGTTCTGTGTGTAAGTTCTACCTGTGGGTAATCAGTGCGAGTGCAAATCAGAAACAGCCCCCAGAGATCACTGGGCTGGAATCCCACACAGGGACCTAAGGGCAAGATACACAGTTCTGAACAATGAAAAGACTTTTAGGTATGTTTTAAAACCTTCACAGGCCTTAGACACGCTTACATTTGCAGACCCTGTCCTACATTGTATCAAAAATACTAAAAGGTATTCATGCCCCCAAATCAAATTTTTTTCTGTAACAGTGTTAGATGGGCACATCTCTCTCTGAGGTCGCCCACACTTTTTAAGTGTGTACGTCTTCTCTCCAACCTTTCAGGGCACCTCTTCTCCCTGAAGTCGCCTGTAGTTCTCTCTTTAAGTAACTTTAAATAAAACTTTTACTTGGCTTCAAAAAAAAAAGTGTTAGATGATATTTATAATTTTGCTTTTCAAATTATTTGGCTATGAGCAACGCAAGTTGCTCGGTATGGACATGTAGTATATGAAGGAAGTAGGTCTGTCTATAGATTGTTTTCAGATGTAATGAGATTTTTAAAATTAAGGTATCATTGATACACAATCTTATGAAGGTTTCACATGAGCAACACGGTGGTCACCACATTCACCCATATCACCAAGTCCCTCCCACAGCCCTTTGCAGTCACTGTCCATCATCATAGTGAGATGCTATAGAGTCACCACTTGTCTTCTTTGTGCCGTACTGCTTTCCTGTGACCCACCCACATCATGTGTGCTGATCATCATTCCCCTTAATCCCCCTCTCCCTCCCTCCCCACCCGCCCTCTCCCGCCGCTTCCCTTTGGCAACTGCCAGTTCCCTCTTACAGTCTGAGTCTGCTGCTGTTATGCTCCTTCAGTTTTGCCTTGTTGTTACCTGTAACGTAATGAGATGTTTATGAGTGATCAGTTAACACTTTACATTTTTACATTTTACAGACATGTAATTGAGCAGTTATTGATATCTACTTTGCAGTTTCTTTTCATATTATAGAGTAATGCATGTTTTTCTTCGTCAGATCTCAAATATTTTCAATGGCCCTGAAAAGCTCTCAGACCCTAAACACTAAGCCTGTGCCATCTAGCGGATAAATCAGCTCTGACTGGAAGCTCTAGAACCTCTACTCCACTGAGTGGCCCTTCTCACAATGGAACCCATTTCTCTCTTCCGCTGTTAATCTAACAGATCCCCTGTCTCAGAGTTTCAGCCCAAGACGCCCCTCCCCAGGCAGTCTTCCTGACAGCTCCTCTTACGGAGGTCTCACTCTCCCGATAGGCCTCAGTGCCCAGCATGGCTGTGTCACAAAGACATGCAGGCTTGCCTGGCATGCGCGCGTGATGGGCAGCGAGGAGTGGATGGCCGAGGTTGCGGGTTCTGCCAAGCTGGCTGCCTGGAACACCTGACTCACATTAGAGAAAGAACGTGGTCTGTTTCTTTGGGGTTGGTCTTCCTGGTGACTTGAGGTCAGAAGGTGAGCCCTCTTCTTAGCTAAGGAACTTCCCAAAAGGAGATAGAGCTTCATGTAGAGCCCATAGCTGAGAATGCAGACCCAGGGAGAACGGAGAGGGCACTACCTGCATACAGGTGGGTGACAGTGCAGAGGGCGGAGGACGTAAAGGCAGCACGCGGCAGGGAAGGCCAGTGTCTCAGGCTCGCCAAGCATGGCTTCTGGGGCTCCAAGGAGGGCAGGCACTCGAGAGTCAGCAGGGACTAGGTGTCGAATACCCGCTGTATTAGCAGGTGTCCAGTGACTGAGGGCCTCAAGCTGAGGCTCCAAGGGGAGACCCGGGAGCGCTTTATTCAGCCTCCAGTTTTGTAGGACGCCCTTTGGAAATTTGATCTAAGGGACTTTGGGTCAATCTTGTATGGAAAGGAAAGGAGGCCAAATGCTCTCGACACAGAATGTGTTCCACGGGTTAGAAACTCCATCTAGAGTGTGAAGTGCAGGAGGGTGGAGGTCCACTTGCTTTTTCACATGCGCTCTGGGAAAGTGAAGTAAGGGGGGTGGTCCGGCCACAGAGCTCTGCTCTAGAACAGCAGAAGGCAGAGCAGAAAGGGGGGAGACGAGCTGGGGTAAGAAGGCACCACCCAATAGCTGGGGGGAGATCAGGAAAGAAACAGTTACTTCCCTAGCCATTCTGGACTGACCTGAACCTCTCTGCCCAAGCCAGGGCAATCCCAGGAGCACGTTTGTTGTATTTGTGCTGCCTTGACCTGTTTTTGTACAAAGGGCCCTACTGTCTGGTCATCGGCAGAGGACGTTTGCAGGGAGGGCTCTCGCCGGTGGTGCCAGATTGCGAGGCCAGAGCTAAACTGCCATGCTCGCTGTTGTGGTGGGACTGCCAGATCAAGCAGATAAAACACAGGTCATTTAGCTCATTTTGAATTTCTGATAAGCAACAAATGCTGTTTTACTGTAAGTATGTCCAAATATTGCCATATTTACCTGGCAACCCTGGCTGTTGAGAAGGAAGGTGTGGTTCTCTTTTTAAATCTATGAGGCATTTTCAAGCTTCGGCCTCAACCTCAAGAAGCTCTCAGATGGAGCCTTGCACAATTTTATTATGAATTCTTTCCCAAAGGGGTAGGGCCATCATCTTTCCCTCTTACAGGTTCCATTTAGCATCTGTTTGCTAACTGGCTCATTTCCATTTAAACTCTGGGCTGGTATTTGTCCTAGAAGCCTGTCAAATGTCACCCGTGTGTGTCAAGGACACACTCAGGCCCAGTGATATGGGGTACACCCTGGTGATGGGCATCAGCTACTGGAGAAAATAGAAAACTAGCCAAAATGAACCCCCAAATCTTATGGTATTTATGTTATTTTTACCTCAAACTCTTTTTATTTCTGGGGCTTAAAAAACTTTAAAATTTTAAAACAGCACTTTTAGTCCCTCAACCCAGCTGATTCAGAGCAGCTCCAGTATTATGAGCACTTACAGATAATATGGTGACTTGAAGGATTTCAGGCAGCCCAGCGTGTTCGGGCAGTTCTTACCTCTAGCGATTCCGATGTATTTAACAACCCAGAACAGCTGAGGAAGCCTGGCGGCAGACCTGGGGCGGCGAGATCTGACTGCACCCCAGATAAAGGTCTGGGTTATCCACTGAACACAGGCTTTGGACAAAGTTTCTGTGAGAAGGCCACATTTTAGTTTTGGCAGACAGCCGAGTCTCCGGGGGACTTACTCTCAGGGTGGAAAGGAGGAAGATCTTTTCAGCAAGTTTTTAAAGTTAAAATAATTTCATTCACCATAGAAGAAACTGGTGGACAGCCCTGGTAGCGGAGCACACAATGAAGCCTAGGGTTTTGTCGGCCCTCTCTGCCCTTCTCTTCTTTGCCAGTGAGCCCTGCTTGGGGCCTGCACGGCGGGCCTGGACACTGGAGCGAAGGCAGGGAGGAGACATACTGGAAAGTGGGGCTGTGCCAAAGTCACGTCTGGTTGAGTTGGGGGATTCCGGATTCTTGTTTACAATAATGCAGCCTAGGGGAGAGGGGATGAGAAAGACCAGAGGCAGGGCTGTCCATGACGCACCCCGAGTGTCAGCTCCGCTCAGGGGTGGGAACAGGACTGTCCCCTGGTGTCTGGAGAGCCGCAGGCAAAGACGGGGCCCTCGGTCCACACTTGCTGACTACTTGGCAGGGGTTTTTGTTTTTACTTTTTTCTCTTGATTTTAAAGTCTGTTTTTAGAAATACAGTCAAAAGTTCATTAACATGAAATCTTTACTAAAATGTCCTCAAACCTATAATTTAAAGGCAAAACATACATTTCTTGTTTTCTAAAAACAGGTCCCTGGTGATTAAACAACAAACCCAGTTTTTCACCTGCTATTTCAAGGGAAGTTTCTAAGATATCCCTTAATTATGTGAATTACTAATTTAATAAAGGTAATCATTGTCATTATGCAGCTGAAATATTGTCCCATTCTATTAGTGTGAGTTTTCACTATCAGTATTATTATTGTTCTAAAGTTTTGAGTGGTCTATTTCTGAATGAAATATCACAAAGTTAAATATTTTCAGGTGCTGAAGTTTGAGGTCAGTGATTATCAAGTATATGATGGGCACAGAACAAGAGACTTTGATCGGGACTTTCTCTCGCAGCAGTTGGGAAGTCATCTCACAGTGGATGGCTACATGTTTACTAGCTCTGTTGAAAGACACTCATATGGCTAAGTGACTACTGACTATTTCAATCACATTAAATTTTTAGTAGCTGGAAACAGCTGCATGGTATTATAAGTTAGTATCAATAAAAATGGAGTATTGGTATGTAGGATGACCGGTGGAGATGAAAGCGGAAAGCTTCAGTTGGATGCCCAGGGACGCTGGGTGCCATCCGTGATGCAGACACCAAAGGTCCACGTAAGACAGGACAAAGGGTTCAGCCCAATAGTAAGTTAGTTCTATCTGGGATCTGAAAGGTAGTCATCAAACATTCTTCCAACAGTGTTTTGCAACAATATAAACATGAATTATTCATAACAATCTACACATATCACAGAATAGCCAGACCTTCCCTTCAGGGTTACAATGCTCTAGAAATGCTAAGCTCTTTTCAAATGCAGTGATAATGCTCTTGCATTATTCACAAAAGGAATATCCTTTCCTCACGTATTTCTAAAGCTGGATATGTGTGAGTGCTGCCAAAGGGCAAATAAGTGCACCCATTAGTTCCTTTTCCCTCTGCAGACAGGACTTGAACAACTGGCACGCTGCTCTGCTGATGAGAATGTGCATCGGTACAGCCCTTATGCAAAATGGCATGGAAATTCCTCAAAAAATGAAAAGCAGAACTACCACATCCCCCGCAATCCCACTTCCAGGAACATGTCCGAAGGAGGCAAAATGAGTATCTTGAAGGAACATCTGTATTTCCAGAGTCACTGCAGATTATTCACAACAGCCAAGATATGGAAACAACCAAGAGTCTGTCAACAGAGGACTGGGTAAAGATGTTTTATATGTAATAGACATGGTGGACTATTATTCAGTCATGAGAAAGGAGGAAATCCTAACATTTGGGCCAATGTGGATGAACCTGGGGGACTTATGAAAGTGACACAAGTCAGACAGAGAAAGACAAATGCTGTGTGATCTCACCGACATGTGGAGTCTTTACAAAAGAGTCCAGCCCCTAGAGGCAGCGAGGAGGGCAGTGTTCACGAGAGGCGGTGGGGAAGTGGGAGGAAGACGATGGTCAAAGGGTACGAATCTGTAGTTCGGCAGGATGAGTGGGTCTAGGGGCCTGACGCACATGTGATAACTCCTCTCAGTAACAGTGTGTCAACACGCTTATCATTATAAAAAACAGCCCCCAGGTCCTGCCCCTGGGCTTCTTGCCTTGTGAAGAGGGCACAGTTGCTCCATGATCTCACTGTGCTGGCAAAACCTCTCCCACCCGAGCATGCGCAGCCGTCTGCTCTGGGCCAGCTGGGCGATTCTCTCTGGGCGATGCTTGAACAAAAGAATCACCGGGAACATGAACCCTTGGGCTACAGATCTAATGGTGATACTGAAGAATTAAGTCTTAAGAACACTAATAAAGGAAGATCGGTCTCTGGTAGTTTTGGAAACATGGAATTTTCTAAATGAACACCCTACGATTAAGGAACCTGACTCAAGATACCGTTCACATTTAAATAAGTAAGTAGGCATTTCTAAACCTACGTGAGCTGCTGCCAACCCGACACATGGTAGTTTCATTTTAACAGTTAGTGAACAATTTGAGCAGTGACATAAAAAGCCTATGCCTAAAGCCGAGCTTAAATTTTCTTAGTATTTGAGGTTGTTTAAGTATAAAATGGGAAGCACATGACAGGTAAGATTATAGTTTGTAATCTTAGACCAGAACTTTTATTTATACTTAAAAACAGTTAAATAAGCCAACTCTTTTGACGTGCTTTATTTCCAGTAAGAAATATAATACTGGCTTTGATGAAGTAAACAGATTTTCTTTCCATCATAAACAACTAGAAAATAGGACAAAATACACAAGGCAACTGTGTTCTGACATCGGACAACAGGCCATACAGGACTGTGGTCCTGGAGAGAAAGGGCACGAATGGATCGCCTTGGTGTTCTGCCAGGAGAAGACAGTTTTTGGGCCATGGTGTAAGGACGGGAATCCCAGGCAGAGACTGATGGTCTCTCTAAGCGAAGAGGAGAGAAAGTGAAGCTTGGGAAGCTGCTGCGTCGGCTGGAGTTTGCAGGGCCACGAGCAGCAGAGCAGGAAATTAGGCAGAGAAAAGCTCCAGAAAGCTGCACACGTTCCGTCTGAGTTTCTGCCGTTGAGCCGTGCACCCAAAAGGTGAATCCCCAGGAGGCTGTGCAAAGAATAACAGCCTAGGAAACTGTACCCTGAACAGTTCTCAGGGTTCAGACAGAGCCAGGAGGTATCCAAGTTCCAGTAAGACAGGGTGAAGAGCCCTCACTGAACACCTGGGGCTTTCACCGGAGACCAGGAGGGTCACACTCTAGTAAAAAAGGAGAAACTATCTCTGGAGTAAAGGTAACTCTGAACCTGCTCTAACAAAGCTTAAAACTGAGCCTTGAAAATACGAAGCTGATCTACAACATAAATGCCTACCAGAATTAAATCCAATACTCTTTAGAGGAATACAAAAATACCCAGCATTCAATAATGTAAAATTGATGTCTAGTATTCAAAAAAAAATTACTAGGCTTTTCAATAAGCAGGAAAATGTGTCCTGTATGCTGGAGAAAAACTGATGAAAGTATTGGACCCGGAAATGGCACCAGGGATGAAATTAGCATCAAAGACTTTTAAAGAACTACTATTAACATGCCTGGTGTGTTCAAGGATTGAAGGGAAAACGTGGACAGAATAAGTAGAGAAATGGAAAAAATACTGAAAATAAGCAAGTGGAAATTCTAGAAATGAAAATTACAAAATATGAAAAGAAAAACTCACTGGATGGGATGAGTAGCAGTTTAGCACTGAGGACGACGGGTCAGTGAACTTGAAGACACGGCAGCAGAAACTACGAAATGAAGCACAGAGAGAGAAAAAAAAAAGACTGCAAAAAACCAACAGAGCTCCAGGGACTTACAGGACAACATGAAGTGATTCAACAAATATGTAACTGGAGTCCCAGAAGGACGGATGGGGCTAGAAAATATATTTGAAGAAATAATGGTTAGAGTTTTTCACAAGTTGATGAAAATGATAAAATCAAAATCCAAGAAGTTCGGCCAATTCCAAGCCACAGAAATGCAAAGAAAACCTCATCAAGAAAAATCATAATCAAATAGCTTGAAACCATTTAGAGAAAAATCTTTAAACAACCAGAGAGAAAAAGGACACATTGTGTTAGGAAATGAGAACTATGTGAGCAGGAAGACAGCAGCACATCTTCGAAGTGATAAAAGAGAAAAACTATCAACCTAGACTTCTATATTGAACAAAGCGCCTTTCTAAAATGAAGGCAAGATGCTTTTTAAAACAACAGAATTTTCCCTGGCAGATCTGCACTACAGGAAATGTCAAAGTAAGTGCTTTAGGCAGAAAATAAGTGATATCATATGGAAACTTAGACTATATGAAGGTTTCTCAACCTCACGCTATTGGCATTTGGAACCAGATGATCCCCTGAGGTGGGGGTGTCCTCTGTTTTGCAGGATGTTGGCCTCAGCATCCCTGGCCTCTGTGCACCAGTGTGAGTAGCGAACTACTCCCCTCCCTAAACTGACAACCCAAGATACCACCAGACGTGTCCACTCTCCCCTTCCCTCCAGGGGAACCACTGATACACACAAGGGGATGAGAAGTGCCAGACATGACAGAAAAAGACAGTCCTGGATGAAGATGACAACAGTTTGACTTGCAAATAGAATCTCAACATCCTTTGTTTCTTTGTGATTAATTAATTAATTGCTAACTAGTTGTTAATAAACTAATTTATATGCATAGTGAGTATATAACTCATAACTAAAAGTAAAGAACTAGAATTTAAAAAAAATCAAAATAATACATGCTTTTCATAGGAAATTTAAGTAAAAAGAGGAAATTCATTGTCCTGCCATCCAAATGAGGTTGAGCAGGGACATGGGACAAGCATCATGATTAATTTTTCCTGACTGTGATGAAAAATGCCAAGAAATAAATAGTATAGTAAGAGCAGGAGAACTCCATCTTCAGGCTAAGATTCCATTTTAAAAACCAAAGAGTTGGGAGACAAGATTCCTAACATATTTTACGGTGATTTGCCAACAACTCGCCTCAGCTTAAGGCAGGGGGAGCAGTCCTTAGCGGCATGTTCCCACTGCTTGGGGGTGGACGCTATCTTGGAGAACAGGATCAATAAATCCCGTGCATTAAGTTTATCCTCCAGTCTATCTAGAGGATTGACTATGGATGGTGGCATAAGGTCTCTCACTGGAGACAGACATGGTGAGACTGCATGTCAAGCCTACACCCCTGGCCCTTTGCCCCATCCTTGAAATCCTTAAAAGACACGAATCCTAAGCCTTTGAACGCCCTCCTCCCTGAGGCTGCCTGCGCTCCCCTTTCCTCGAGTGTATACTTTGCCTTAAATAAAGCCTTCTGTCTGTTTAACTTACTGTGTTTTGTCTCCATGCTCCTCCACGCTTGTCTGGAGGTTAGAGACCCCTTTCCCGGTGGTAAGCATCTTTGTTACTTTGCTATTTCATGGAATTTTCTAGATCTAAGCACTAGCCTTCTCTCTCCCTACTTCTGACAAGTAGGGAGGGGCTCCCGAGATCTCTGGTTTGGGCCTGCAAGTTCCCCCTGCCTCAGTGGTCCAGATGAGACTGCAGCGGTATGTGCCCTCAGCAGCCTGCTCAGGAATCTCCCTTCTCTGCTTTGGGAAGTTCTCAGAACATCATCTCACTCCATCCAGTGCTCCCCGGCTCCCCCAGATCCTGGGGTGGCAGGGGCTTAGTTCCCACACCGTGCAGATCCAAGCAGACGCCGGATACTAAGTGACCCTGGCTTCAGGGGTTGGCAGGGGACCTGCCCTGTGCTGAGCGGGGGTTCCCTTCCCTCCCTCTGCTCTTCCTGCTCTCTGCTGCCTGCACGGCTGCTGCCATTCACTACTCCTCTCACTTTAATGAATTCCTTCCTTATCTACACTTGTCTGACCTGGCTGAGAATTATTTTTTGATCAGTCAAGAACCCTCCCCACCCGGGTGGAGGTTTCACCCAGTGCACAAGGGAGAGACTTCAGATGCAGCTGTGCTGCAATGAATGACAGTGACTGCTAACATTTTGGTCTCTGTCCTTCAAGTGATTTTTCTATACATTACATGACCATTGTTAGGACACACACACAACTGTTTTTGTTAACTAACAGTTCATAATAACATTATAATTCCTTATGCTAAAAAATGTCTAATGGCAGAACAATATTCTATCAAGTACCTCACTGTTTTTCTTAAGTTTTTCTCCTGTTGTTGGGTATTTGGTCAATTCTTATTTTTTTTCACTTTTACTATAATGCTGCAATAATAACCTTCATGGAACATATATCCCCCCCCCATATTTTGAGTTATTTTCTTAAGAAATATTTCCAGAACTATCTTGCCTCGATTAGCCATAAGAAATATTTCCAGAACTATCTTGCCTCGATTAGCCATAAGAAATATTTCCAGAACTATCTTGCCTCGATTAGCCAACAGCTTTTTGAGGGATGAGACTTCCTTGGTCAGTATTGTGCCGGCTCATAATACCGGCGCACGGAGTGGTTTGCAGAAACCTAGTCAATTGCTGAGTGACTCTAACTGAACTGAACTGTCTCTCACAAAGAACTGCATTCACGCCAACCAAGTTCTGCAAACTACACATGTAGAGAAAATCCTACCCCACCCAGAGCGCGCCCCAGAAAGCCAGCTTTGTTCATACAGTTCTAGTAGCTCGCAGGCACGTTTTTCAAATTACAAAATGACCCTTACCTGCAACAAAAGCAAAGGTGAATTTTCAGGCGTGGGCTCCCTTCTTAGGTAGCTCTCTTGCTCCCTCTGCAGGACATCAGCTTGAACAGCAAAGGGCTTTGCCCCGGCCACCTGGACCCCCCGACGACAGAGCAGGCGCAGAGAAATAAGGACATAAAACGACCAGTTTAGGACAGCAAATGGCATACAGTTTGTGGTCGTTTTTACACAACACATTCTGCTCTCACACATAAGTTTTCAAATTATTTGGAATGTGAACATCACAGGTCAAGGAACTGCAAAATTTAAAACATCACAAAAATCAGGTATTTCCTATTAAGTAGTAGTGGGCTCTGACCACAGCTGTTTCAGTCTTTTAACACTGTCAGTAACAGCAGCTGTGGGTTCACAAGAGAAATTTCCTGTCAAGCGTTTCAAAAAGTCAACAAAATCTAATCTATTGTGTTGAAAGAGCCACTCTCCTGCTCACCTGCAACATTTTCTTCAGAGTCAGTTCCTTTTGGCTTCTCAAGTAAGAAACGTCCTTTGGTATTCGAACAGAGCTGCAGAAAGATTTATGCAATGAAAGCTGTAATTGTAGAAGCTGTAATAGACCAAGTTACAGATGCGCTGATTGATCTGTGACTCCTCACAACTGCTCATTTTTAAATATGTCACATTATGCTAGGTTGTTGGGGCGTGTAAAAGCCACACGCTTCTGCCTTGGTTCAGATCTCTCTCTCTCTCTTGTGTATACCTCATGTTTGCTCAACATTGTCCTGGGCCAATTTTCCTCTCCTTCTCCCTGTCTTGCCAATGGGTTTCAGCCCCTGGCAAGTTCGCTGTGGATTCAGTGTGACCGAAGAAAATGACGGCAAAACGTTCTTGGGGTGAAAGGGTTATACCCAACTTTATTCTCACAGTGGCAGGCCAGTCACTAAAATCCTGTTCACTCAGAGAGAGTCTGCATGCAGCAAGCCAGTCTCTGCCTCTGGGCCCCTCTGTCTGCACAGTTGTCCTGCACAGCCATCCTCGGGGCCTCTGTCCTCAGTGCTGCCACCACTCCAGCCTCTGCTCTGCTCTCCTGCAGCCTTGCAGCCCTGCCACCGTGTCGTGCCCAGAGCACTGGGTGGAGCTCTTTTTATAGAGTCCACAGCCATGTAGTGCCCACAGGTGTGCAGTGCACCAAGGCCAGGTGAGAATCCTGGCCACAGGGACTCTCATTTTATCCACATCCCTAAACAGGGTCTCCCCCGCTACCCCTCCCTCCCTCTCTGATGCTGACTCCAGAGTACAGGGAGAGGCACACGGTGAGGACTTTCCTCTCCCATTGGCATTTCCCCCAGGAAGCTTGTCTCTGCCAAGTACTGTGCTTAGAGAACCTCTACATCATCAGAGCTGACATATAAAACCAGTATCTTATAATTTAACAAAATGTGTTTACTTTTGGGTTTTTGATCGGTTATCTGGGGGTAGATATGAAACATTAAACACTCTGGACACTATTTTAACCAAACTTTCTGCTTCGGAACGATCACTGAATGCTGGGAAAGCCACAGCAGAGGCGCCTGCTGAGCAGACCGCCGTCCAGGCCAGGCTTGGGGTGTCCGCACCGGGAGCTCTGACGTGGGGAGGCCCAGGCGCGCTCCTGTGGGGCCTGATGCCGGGGTGCGACCCTGTGGCAGGAGGAGCGGAGGTCGTGCCGTGCAGAGTAGGGAAAGCACGAGGCTTGGCAGCTTTGGGAGCCCCCGGAGACAGCAACCCAGGCCGGCGCCACTTTGTCAAGACGGGACTCGGCGAGTGTGGGCAAGGACGGTCCCGCAGGCAGTCCCGAGCCCACCGGGAGATGAGGCTCACGGGCAGTGGGCTTTGGGCCCGCTGCTGTTCATGTGGCCCTACCAGTACCCGTGGGTAAGCTTCAGGGAAGGCGAAACAGACCGTCAGCTCGCGTCCCCGTCCCCGTGGAGGCGGTGGCCGCGCAGGGAGCACCAGGCCGTCGGGAAGGCTCTTAGCCACAGAAGCCGCCACAGGGCTCCCTCCTCAGGGTGGAGGTGATGCCTCATTTACCTCCTCACATCTCGGCTTCGATTTAGAAAAAAGGAGGCAAGCTCTCAAAGGGCCTTGAGAGTAAAAACATTAATAAATCAAAGCTGAAATTCCTGTCCTTACTCGGGGCCTGAATCCAGCTGCAGCCTCATAAAGGCCGAGAGCGGGTGTGGGAAGGAGCTCGAACCTGCCGGGAGGGAACGAGCTGCTGAACAGGCAGTTAGGGGAAGAGAAGAAACCTGCCCTTCCCGGTCCTCCTGTCCAGTAATTCTTGGGCACACTGGGAGACCGGGCAGCACCCTGGGGGGCTGCTCCAACCCCTCAGTTAACCTCAGGGTCCGGGAATGACCTGAAAGAGACAGTAACGTGAGTGGTGTGTGCATCAGCCTACAGAAAGACACTCATTCGTTCAACACACATTCATTCACTTATTCATTCAGCAAGCATTTATGAAACACTTAACTGCTATAAAGACTTGGCTTATGGGGGTAAAGTGAGGGAGAGAGAGGGAGGGAAGGAAGGAAAAAGAGAGACAGGAAGATGAGCAAGGCCCCGTTGTCCTCCAGGTCCCGACAGAGTGTGGGTCTAGAGGGGAGTGGGGTGCAAATGTGGTCATTTCCCTCGGCCTGCAGAGCCTAGCAGCACACGTGGCAAACGGAAGGTGATATGTGAGTCAGATTAATAGATTCTCCCGGGTTCAGTGTTAGGTGGTTTGGGGAGAAGAGAAATGCAGGAATCCACAGATTTCCCATCACTTGGTTCTAACAGAGACCCCAGGAAATCTTTCTTATCACAATGTGCAGTGAAGAGCCACTTGCCTGACGCTCTGACCTTTAAGTTGTCACAATATCAATACTTGGTCTTTGCATCATGTTTTTCAGTTTTCAAAGTGCTTAAACATGCATTACCACTTGATCCTTCTAAGACAGGCCAGGTGCATGTTTTTAACCTCGTTTTTCAGGTAAACCGAGTTGGGAGAAGTTAGGACTTGCATGGTCCCTGGGGGTAAAACTGTAGTATTTCCAGAATATCTCCTGGCTTTAGCACATCTGCATATCAATAGGCATTCAGAGGCGGAGAGAAGTATGGCTTTAGTGCATTTGCATGGTTCCTCAGGGTGGAGAGAAGTTCATCTCCATATCAGTGGGTAATTACCTGGGAAATGGAGGGCTTATCTGTACCTGAGAGGGGAGGGGAGGGGAGGGCCGGATTTGCTTCTGCTGGAGCAGGAAAGAGAGCCGGCCTGGGACTGCAGTTTGTGAGCAATAAACAGATTTTAAACTTTATTTCTCCCTTTGACTGATTTCGGTTTTTAGAGGTATTTTGCCCCGGGATTTCCTCTCCCCAGACTTACAGTCCCATTTTATCCATTTTATCACTAATCCTTGATCTGTTTCATACATCCAAGGGCTGTGAACACCATATTATAAAACACACCCCATACTGGTTCTTCAGGATCATCTTTGGGATGAGGCCCTAATGTACCTACTTACTGCTGCTTCTCCTGACCTTACCCCCCAGCCCTCAGCATCCACACTGTGTTCACTCGGCTTCTCAACCTAACAGGCCCTCGTATTGTTCCTTTGATCAGCGGTGAAGGCCCGAGTCCAGGAGACTCGTCGCGTGCAGGCCGGTCTGCCCACCCTGCTTCTGTGAACGCGGCCACTGTCGTCGTCAGCATTTACCTTTGAAGAGCTCCTCATAGATCATTATGCAGAATGCATTACCAGATACCTAGCATTATTCCAGTTTTTAAACTTCACATCAAAATCAAGGTGAAATTTAGTTAAAATGTTGTTGGATAAAATAAGATCTCTTTTCACAGAGTGGCATTTGTATAATAGCTTCTGGTACTTTAAGACAATGGTATTTGGGAAATGTAAGGACATTTTTCTATTTTCTTTGGGTAGGACATTGCCTCAATGCCTTGGCAACTCTGGAATGTAGGAAAGCCTCAGGGGCAGCAGTCAAGTGTGAGCTTGAGATAATTCCAGTTAGCCATGTAAAAAGGGGGCGATGTGGGGTGGAGGGAGCCCGGCCCTGAGGACCATGCCCACGGGATGCCCCTACTCACCTGCAAGCTCCACGAGTTGGTCCCCGAAGAGTCTCTGCCAGACCCTCGATCTCAGACTTCTGTTCAGTCAGTTGTGCAGCCAGTTCTTTCTCCAACATCAGGACCCTTTCTGTGGAAGCGATCTTATAAATTTCATCCATGATTTGCATTTATTGTTTTTCTATATCCCTGAGAAAGAACACAAATCTTGTGGCTGACTCCCTTGGTAACCATTACCCAGGGGTGGGACTTTTGTCTAATTTTGAAGAAATTGAAAGAAATCCTGCCAACTTTTGAAAATGTACACTGAGAAATAGCCAGACTAAATTACCATTTATGATTTAATTATCATTTAGTAAACAGTGAAAACAAAGGTTAGAATGTCCAGTGATCATGTGTTCGTTCTGTCCAGCTCACCCTCAGCTCCTTCTCTGCTCCGTCTCTGACTGAGCAGTGTATTAAATGGGAACACACCCCACTCCACCCCACCGTCTTCATGAAGGCTTGTGCAGACTACACACTCCATGCTATCAGCGTGGGTACTGCTGACTTCTGGTATCACATCTCCTGGAACAAACAGTAGGTGTGTACAGAATCCCTCTCCTTGCCTAGAGTATTTCTCCATCAGCCTTTTGGAAGGCATGAGTTTCTGATCGGGATCGAGGGAGACGAGCTATCGAACATGATCAAGACCCACGCACTTTTGGTTTGGGGAGAAAATCATACATACTTACACATTTCAAAATCCTCTTAATTTGGATGCTTATGTTTGGCATACTGCTTTTACCATTAAATATGACAGCTGATCACCCCTCACCCTCACTCTATCCAGTTCACAGCCTGTCAAATGTGACACAATTATTTGCTAAATACTTAATATTCTAATTAAGTAAATACTTCAATTCCAGTTAACGATGTAGATTAAGTGCACGACCAGGAACAGGACCCACAGTTCCAGGGGATGCAGTAGAGACAGTGTTTCTCCTGTCTGTGCTGAACAGGTGGGGGGTAAACTCTTAAGCCACATCAGAGAGGTTTGAAATACTTAAAATTTCCTTTTTCCCTTTGACATTTGTAGATTTTCACTCTTCCTTTTAGAGATATTTCATATGCTCAAGTTATCTGCTGTTGTTCAAACATAGCTGTTTGGATGAAGCTGTAGAGGTGTTTTGTACTCCCTTTGTGAAAACAACTATATTGATGATTTTGGCAATGCCAATGTCTGAAGACAACCTTTTTGGATATGATAAATATGTGAGAAAACTTCTTTCCACCTAGAAGAGAATAAGTGTAAACTTGGTGACCTTGGTAATTCGCAAGTTGTATTCAAATGCTTGTCATATTTTCAATGATAAAGCTGTCCTGATAAAGTTTGGACTCTCTTGCAAAACGTTCTTTGAATTTAAACTCCTCTTCTTTTCTGAATCCTTTAGTCTCTGGATTGTTTACTTTATCTCAGCAAATGGTAGTTTGAATCAACAGTTTTTAGTAGACTGGTGTAGGGAAAATGGAAGTTCCATGACCAGGATCCTTGCCTGATGCTAATCTACTTGCCCTCCGTGCATGGGCGATGATGTAGTACTTGGCCTGTGGCATAGGCGAATGCTTGCACACGTTTCCAATAAGCCATTATTGCCTGTGTTGCTATATAAAGAGCTCCCCCCAGTGTCTGGGGAGGAGCCTGGAGCAGGGGCAGAGATGGAGATGGGGTTGCTGGGTGCAGATTGCCAGAAGTGGATGGGATTCTAGTGTTCAACCTGTCACCCTGAGAATAAAGCTTGGTATAAACCCTTTCACCCCACAATGTCCCGTTGTCGTTTTTCAGTCTCACTGAATCCAGAGTGAACTTGCCTGGAGCTAAGAACCCACCCCAGCCTGCAGGTGCAACTGGTTAATAGGACCAAACTTTACCTTTTGTGGAATATCCACAGGAATGTCCTAAAGTGGCTCTGAGAATTAGAAATCACAGGCAAATATCTTGTCCAAATACAAAAGGCACAGCCCTCCCGCTACGTGAGACCTACAGTGTAGGAGAAACAGGCCCTTTCTGAAAATTTCGCTTAGATGCCCAACATTTAAATCATACCACAGACAGAATCAAGGATATAATACTGATACAAATTCTTCTGAGTTTATGAGACATTATATATAAAAAGTTATAGAATAAGTTTTTTAAAAAACCAATTCATTTGAGACTGAAGTAAAAGTAGCAATTCTTTACCTAGAAATAATTTCTTTTAACTCTGGTACTGAATTCCCCAGCTTCAAATTTGTAGCTTATTTTGGGGACATGAAAGTAATTAATGCTTTTCATGTTGTGTTCAAGCATTCAATGGTTAACATATTAAGAGTCTTATTCTCTCACATGTTTTGGATTTAGTTATCTCTGAAATAATATTTTTAAGGTATTAAAGAAACTTTTTCTTTTGCTGCACATTATAAACTGTTAAGGCTATAAATGTTCATGGAATTCTCAAGAGTGTTTTAAAATTTAATTTTAAATGGGTTTCCTGTGTACCAAAATGATTTATGTCTTAAATAACACATTTGTAAAGCTAAAAGGAACTACAGTGATGAAAAGTGAGAAGATTCTGGACAATTGCCTTGTAAACATCAATCTTAGAATTCAGATAATGGTATTGATTAAACCAGGACTTCTATCTGTAAAACATACAGAGCATATTCACAATAGTATTTCTGGGATAAACAGCTATATAGGGGACTGGAGTATTTCTATTTTAAATTGGCTTTCTCACTTTCCTCTACAAAAGCTTTCATACTCATTCACTCCCTTTGAACATTTATTATGAGCCAACTTTTTATTCCCCAAATATTTAGGACTACATGCTGAATTATAATCCAGCACTCACAAAGTTCTCACAAGGCACTGGCTACCTCGCCATGTTAGACGCACACTGGTATTTTCCGTGCTACTCCATATCATTTAAAAAGGTTGGTAGTGACCCGTTCGATTGATTTCACAGCCCTTTAATAGGATACGACCTGCAGTTTGAAATACACTGACTTGGCCCAACCTGTGAGGAAGTCTAAGTTTGAGGAAACTGAGTGGCTTAAATTCCAAAGAAAAGGGTGGCGATCATTTGCATAACCTTGTGCCAGTCAATGATTAGCCTCTAGAATACAGCTCTTCTGTATGTGTGTTACTTCTGTTCCAGCCTAAGTCATTATTGCTAGATTTTTCTGCCCTCTCTCTCCCCACTCCCTGACCATTTACTTCAGTATCTCATACTTGAAAAATTCTTTTCTACTCATGTCTTTGAATTTGATACTGGCTATTTGTTTGAAATTACTAAGTGAACTGGTATTTTTGATCAACGAGCCTACAGAAAATTAAGAATCTCAGGCCAACACGGCCATCATGTGAAAAAGCAGGTGAAAGCTATACATACCAAGAGAGGAAATAAAGAAATACCAGCAGGGTCACCTATATCTGTCGACAGATGAAAACAAAGATTTAGTATGCTCACTGAGCACGTACTATTTAATGGCCATCACCACCGCATCCCTGGGCCACGCACTGAGCGCGTGGTTCTTGACGGCCATCACCTCTACCTCACTTAGCGTTTGATTCCTTCTATTATGTTTATGTTCATGTTTTATCTTCCCATCAGACTTGAGGACAGACCAGGCATAAACGGTCTTTAACTCTCCCACAGCATCCAGCACAGTATCTTGAGATTAAAAACAATTGTTAGAATAAATAAATACTTACTTGCTGAATGAACAAGTCAAACACACCAATATAAACAAAGAACTACTCTGGCCCTCTAACTTCTCAGCATCATGAAATCAAAGAAAGAATCATTCTGAATGCTTGCTGTCTGTGCCCACAAACACACAATAAAATGATGGAATATCCTTCACCAGGGGTTATGCAAAATACGGCCACATGTCCTTGAAAGATGAAACAGAACAGGTGAACCTGTGCTTGGAAAAGCAGACCCTGACCCAGTGAATTCTCAGATGAGACCACCAAGTAAGGTTTAGCACAGTTCCATGAAATGTCGTTATCCAATGTTTATGAGGCTATTTGTGGGCCGGGCGTTGGGCTCCAGGGGTGAGCAAACGGGACCTTGTGCACGGGGAACTTCAGACTATGGGGAGGTCAAGCCGACAACAAGGAAGCGGGCCTTGAGGACTCAGGCCCCGGCGGGCGGCCGTCGGCGGGCAGACGCACATTCACAACCCAGCGGCTGCAGTGCAGCACCGAGGGCCGCTCTTCATCGTCTCTCCACGGCGAATGCCACCCCAGCAACCCAGACGGGCTCCAGGCAGAGCTGCTGCGACCACGGACCGCGGCGCCATGCGGGCCTGTGTTCTCGACCTCCTCGCACTAGACGCCTGAGCTGGCGAACGGGCCGAAGCGATCTCCGCCCGGGCACCCGGAAAAAAGGGAGGAAAACCCCAGTACTAGAATATTCCCTCTGTAGGAAGAACACACTTCGGCTCCTGCCCTCGGGCCTTACCCCGCACCAACAGGCTCTACTGCACCCCAGATGTAACGTTTATCGGGCTTTTACCCGGTGCCAACCCCTCTGCTGGGTGCCCTCGAGTTCTTTCATCTCACGTCTTCCTTCAAGCGCCCTGTGAGCTACGTGGCCACAGAAGCCGCACTTTACGAATGAGACACGGAATCTCCAAAAATTACTTGTTGTCCAAGCTATTAGAACAGCAGCGTCACAATTTGAACCAGTCGCCTCCTTTGAATCTTTTTCTACTAGACTACGCTGGTTTTGCAAAAAAAATTCTCAATTCTTAATTGAAATATTCAAGCTTTTTGACCAAGCTTTTATGGCAATTTTTTTTTAGCCATGTATTTTCCCAAGTAATGACTTTACTACAGATAAGGCAGCGCTGTGGTCCTGGTGTTTCCTGCTAAGTTTAAAATAAGCACGCACATTTTTGAGGAGGAAAGGTGAAGTTGAAAAGAAGGGTCAGGCGCCGACCGTGAGTGTGGGTGACGCGCTCTGCGGGGCACCCGGGGCTGAAGGGGTGGCGAGGGGCGCGTGCCGACTGTAAGCCAGAGCTGCCCCCTGCCCTTAGTTACTTCCAGGGACCCACCTGCCCGTTCTGAGCCACCTCCCGCCGCAGGTGCGGACGTGTGCTGACCCGGCCCCGCGTCTCTCGGTGAGAAATGAGTCAGCGCTCCCCCTCCCCAGCCCAAGTCTTGCCATTAACCCCTTTCTCCTACACACCTTGGGGGACTTCCTAGGAGGGCAGGGAGCCTTTTTAAAACCTGCTTTTTCTAGCCTCCCAAGCTCTTGATCTCTTTTGACACCTGGAGCCTGAATGTTCTCCCAGCTGTAGATGAAAGACGTACCTACGACTCTGCCCTTTGGAACCAGCATCTCTTAAACTGCCACCCTGTCTTCCGAGCACCTCCCTTCTGGGGCGCCCTTTCTGTCAGTCTCCCATTTCTGCTTCAGTTGATGACCCCAGTGGATTTCAGTGACAAACCAAAAAAGTTCAGACTAGTCATACTAGTTTCCAAAGGCTTCGGAAAAGATAGGTCAACAAGTGGAAATTTATTATAAAGCACACACACACACAAAGCAATCCCATGACCTTGCTGACTTAAAAATATAAAAAATAAAAGTGTATCTTTTCCTGAATTTTTACTAGATGAAGTAATGAAATTTTCAACATCATCTTTCTATTCCTATAAAAGAATATAGTGTGGGTCCTTGAAATTAATTCGTCTATACACATGAATATTATATATAATGTAAAGACCAGACGTCATCAAGTTAGAGTTATAAAAGGATAGGATGGGGTCACTGGTGTTTAAAAAACCCCCAGGAGATTTGTAAAAGAATGGGGATAGCAGAGGACGACTTCTACAGCCGAGTTGGTGTCACCTAAAAATTAAATAACTACAGGTTCTTTTGTCACACAGAAGCTTGGGCTAAGACCTCTTCAGAAAGCTTCTCCTTCTCTAAAAAAAGAAAAATATTTCATAGCCCTAAAACAAGACAGGGAGGAAGCACCAGGGAAATTAAAAGACCCTTCCGTGCTATGTTCATTTTACCTTTGTTCTTAAGTTTACACGCTAGTTACTAAATGAAAAAGCAGAATGGTACTTGGGTCTCACATTAACTCAATTTTAAACATCATCAATCCAGTATAATTTCTGAGGTTTAGCTTAAGATATATGTAAGGTGAACAATGTTTCTAAAACATGGTGTGATTAGGCATTTCAGTTAATAAGAGAAACAAACAATCAATTATTTATTATTTGGGACTCTTAGGTCATTAGGCATCAATTCTAAAATACTCTAACTTGACAGTTTATAGGGGCTAGAAAAATAATTCAAAGTATCATAAAGGCATATTAAAACCACTTTAGGCAATTCAAGATCTCACTGACAGTTCATTTACGGTTTTGCTACTGTGTTGTTGTTATTGATATCATGTTATTGTTCCCACAGGATGTCATCTCTTCTCAATTTCATTTGAAGATTACGGACTCTGAATGGATGGAAGTTGTTCTTCTGAAGAGAGTCAGTTAGCAAACATTTTCTGGGGCTATTCTTCATGTTCTTTGATCCTTTAGAGTTGCTATCTTCTTGCTGAATGCCTGAAGCCTCACTCATCTTTGAGTCTTGAATTTTTTGCTGCAGTTTACGGACCTGGAGAAAAAAATCTAACATTTTAGTAAAAAATATATTGAAAATATACCCTCTGATAGATGGATTGGATTGATGGTTTAAGATTACATGAAATTTAAAACTTTAAGTCTTTACTTACTGAATACCCATTATATGCCTAACACTGCTAGTTAGGTGGAATATGGTGAATACAACAATACTTGCTCTCAAGGAGTTTATTGCTCTTACTAGTGAAAGAAAAGTACATACGTGACCACTAGACAACAATTCAAGCTGGGATAATCTCGAGTAGGACAAAATACGTGTATTTGAGAAGGTCAATGGAGGATAGAATCAATGTGAGCTGGAGAAGCGAGAGAGAGGTTCACGGAGGACGTGAAATGGGCAAAACTGGAGAACAGAGGAGAAAGAGAAGGAAACTTCAGGTGATATTAACAGCACAGCAAAGATTCGGAGCTAGGAGTGAGCAGAGTTTACAGAGTCAAATATATAATGTATTTTACTTAAAAGTATCCTGAATTTAAAGTACTATTGAATGCTAGTAAAAAAAAAAAAATTCAAGGGAATAACCGTAGCTCATTGAGTACAAACTGATAAAATGGTTAGGTAGAGAAAATTAAACAAAACCTACCATCTAGCCCAAACCCATTCCTTCCAGCCCAGTCCTTTGCTTAGTCCGTTTCACTACACATAGACGTCATCTGTACAGCTGATCAAGACGCTGGCTAAATAGCTAAGGTTTTATCTGTCTAAGGCCATTTTAATTCAGATACTAAATTTATCATAAAATACTTGAAATTTATATTGCTTTAGCTTTTATGTAATATAAATAATGTTTTTCAAAATAAAACATATACAGACTGCTTGAATTTTAGAAATACAACTATTACTCTATTCTGTTCAGGTTTCTCCTATGCAACTCTGAGAAAGTACACAAGTTAAACAACATTTACCCTAACACAAGCATAAAAAATATTTTACTTACTATAGCCTTAAAAACCAGTAAAGTGAAAATATTTGCTTCAAAAATTTCATTCCCTTCTTTCTTTCTTGGCCAAAGAAGAACAAAGGCAGTGAAATTCTGCATCCTTTATAAGTTTCCCATAAAAGTGGGGGAGGCTTAATTGCGAGGTAATACCATCCACTTGTGTGAATGCCGACTATGCCACAGGCAGGCGTCTGCATCATCCGACTCAGGGTTCCTGGAAAGGCTCCCTGTGCCCTCTGCTCCAGCAGCGCCCTAGTGCCCATAGTCTAACCTATGGCTTCACTGTCTTGTATAAAATGTTACAGTATTCCATGATTCTTCTGTTAAAATATTAAGACTCAAACCATCCTTAGTTATTGGGAATTCACGTGCAAGGATAGAGTCCCCCTTACCACCCCACCACTGCCAGCTGAGTGTGGGTCCCCGGGAACAAAACACAGCACAACCATCCTGCGGAAGTGGAAATAGTGGTTTTAGGATTGGCGTGCTGCTCGAGTAGCCAGGTTATATGTGGTACTGAATCAGAGGCCTGTGCCTACAGAGGCTTCATCAGGGCAAAGCAGAAGCAGAGGTGGGCGAAGGATGCCGACGGTAACTCAGGGGGCTGCAAAGCCCACCAGCCTACCTCACAGTTTTCCCAAATCCGTTTCTGGATACATAATGAACCTTTCCTATTCCCTTTCCTTTATGTTGTCCAGGAAAGCTATGTAGGAAGCCACGCTCTCCCCACGGGGCAGACGGCTCTGTTTATAATGGGCCTAAGTGACCCTGTCTATCGTCTCCCCAGTGGGCCGTGCATCCAGACCTCAGTGGGAAGGTCACACAGAGCTACTACACTGAGTCCAGAAGCAGTATCTTCAGACCAAAGCCTTCTTACATTGTCTTGATGCCTCATCAGTTTGGAAATTTGTTCTCCTTTAACTTCCATCTTCTTGACTAAGCGCTCTAGTTCACATTCTATGTCTTCACACACTGAACCGCTTTCAGTTTCCTCCATTTGATTCAGGAGTATGACCCTGTCTATCGTCTCCCCAGTGGGCCGTGCATCCAGACCTCAGTGGGAAGGTCACACAGAGCTACTACACTGAGTCCAGATGCAGTATCTTCAGACCAGAGCCTTCTTACATTGTCTTGATGCCTCATCAGTTTGGAAATTTGTTCTCCTTTAACTTCCATCTTCTTGACTAAGCGCTCTAGTTCACATTCTATGTCTTCACACACTGAACCGCTTTCAGTTTCCTCCATTTGATTCAGGAGTTCCTGATGCTTCCTATGGAGGAAAAGCACTGTTACAGCTCACAAAACACGTCTTTGCCACAGTTAAACAATATTCTGTTCATTTGTAAATTGTAGTCAGAGCTATTTATCTTCAAAGACAGTCTTTCTGTATTTAATTAAAATCGATCTTAAATATAAACAGGCTCTTGTGACTTGAGACACTGGTCTTTATTTTTCCTCTCTCACCTTTCCAGTCTCAAGGGGCAGCAATCCAAACCTTGACTGAATCTGCTGAGGGGGTCCTTTATTTAAACACTTACTTTTCTAAATATTGACAAGGAAAAGGTAAACAAAAAAACTGTTTTAAAAGACATTATGATAGGAAGAAGTCTCAAAACACAGATAGCATTAGATAGCATAGATGGAAATATCTTTAGGCTTAGAGTCTTAAAGAATCTTAGAAAAAAATCTGAACTCTTGATTTTTATAGTTAAATGTTGTAAAATATTCTGATGTCCTTATTAGCTAGAGGCATTAAAGGACTCTTTAGTTCCAACTCTGGAATTCTTAATGTAGGATCTTTGGAAGAATTCCAGCTATAGAAGTATTTGTTTGAGAAATCCCTAGATTCGGTGATAGCTACTCAAAGAAACACTGTCAACAGAACTATTTATATCTTCCACAGAGGTCTTAGTTCAAATAGCTAGCCACCCAAATCACATTTTCTGGAATTTTTGTTGCATATATACTTAAACGTGGGGCTCACAGCATGTATCCCATAGAGAATATTACTTCCTATGGGTGCTTCCAAACTCGTGATGCAGAACAACTGTCTAAAATGAGAAAATGCTGTCATACTTATCTAATGAAATCATTCATTTAACTAAAAATTTATAAAAGACAAAAGGAGAATCTTTCTTATAAAAGCAGTGTTAAGTTACAATTTAAGGCCACCAACTTCATCTGTGAGAATGACAGCGATGTGAGTCTCTCAGTTCAGATCCTGGGGATACAGAAACTCCCAAGATTGGGAAAGCAGAGATTATACACAGTTGAAAATTTAATAGTATCAACAAATACAATGAAAAAAACCAGTGACAACAAACCTGCAGATCGAAATACGCCCAAATGGTAAAGTTTCAAGAATTTATAAGTGGCACTGTTCTTAAGACTGAAGAAAAAATATCTTGGTACTTCTTCTGATAAAGAATAAAAATACTTACAAACCCATTTGGTCCAGCTCATCATGCATTGCTATCAAAAGTTCAGACAAACAGTCACACATGGAAATGGACTTTTCTGCGTCAGGCACAGCGGCACCCTGGGAAGCAGCTCTGGTGGGCCTGCGGGGGCATCTCGGCTCAGCAGCTTCAGCAGGACCCTGAAGGCCCCGGGGCCCACAGTGCTGCATCGTCTGCAGGAGGCTCTGCACACTCACGTTCACGGAATGACTTGCCCTGGCAGACTTCAGGAGAAAAGAGATAGCTGAGAACAATTTCAAATGACTGATGGCCTTTAAACAGCACTTAAAACAATGTAGGAGTTTTTTAACACTGGTCTTTATTTTTCCTCTCTCACCTTTCCAGTCTCAAGGGGCAGCAATCCAAACCTTGACTGAATCCGCTGAGGGAGTCCTTTATTTAAACACTTACTTTTCTAAATATTGACAAGGAAAAGGTAAACAAAAAAACTGTTTTAAAAGACATTATGATAGGAAGAAGTCTCAAAACACAGCAGTGAACAAACAATCTGATTAGAAAACAGGCAAAAAACATGATGGACATTTCACTGAAGAGGATATGCAGATGGCAAAAATAAACTAATGAAAAGACATGCAATATCACCAGCCACTAGAAAATGCAAGTGACAATGAGACAGCACAATCCACCTATCAGAATGGCCAAAATAAGAAATAGTGACCCCACCAAATGCTGGCAAGGATGTGGAGGAACTGAGCTGATCATACACCGTTGGTGGGAATACAAAATAATACAGTCACTTAGGAAGGTTCTTGTAAAAATAAACATGTACTTATATGATCCAGCAATTGAGCTCTTGGACGTTTATCCCCCAAAAATGAAAACTTACATTCATACAAAAACCTGTACACAAATGTTTATAACAGCTTTTTTTGGTGACAGCCTGAAGCTGAAAACACACATTTCCTCCAACAGATGAATGATTAAACTGCGGTCCATCCCTGACGTGGGATACTGCACAGAAATGAAGAAAATGTTGATACTTGGATAGACCTCAATGGAATTGGTTGAGGGAAGACAGCCAATCTCAAAAGGCTACATATTATATAATTCCATTTATATAACATTCTTGAAATAAAATTATAGAGACAATGAACAGATTGTAAATTGCCAAGGACTGGGAGGGGCATTACAGCTATAAAGGGGCTGCGTGAAGGAGGCTTGTAGTGGTAGAATAGCTCTATATCCTGATGGTTGTAATGCTTACACGAATCTACACGCGATAGAACTATACACACACACACACACTCACTCACACACACATGTATAAGTGAGTGTGAAACTGGTGAGATCTGAATAAGCTCTGTGTATTTTACCAGTGTCAATTCCCTGTGTTTTATACTATATTTATGCAAGACGTTAATTTTGGGGAAAACTGGTTTAAGATATACATGGGGCCTCCCCATCTATTTTTGGTAATCTCCCATGAATCTATAATTACTTCAAAATAAAAATTAAAAACAAAAACCATCAAAAAAGATACTTAAGGTAAGGGTATCGAATGGTAAACTGCTGATTAGAACATAAACTGGTCCAACACCCTTGGACATTATCTCAGAAAGGTAAGGACGCACGACTCTTACGGCCTGGCACCCTGGAGAAACTCCTGCACGCGTACACCAGGAGGCGTGGACCGAAGTGTTCGTGACACTGTTGTTTGTAATAACAGGCAGTGGGAAACAACTCGAATGCTCTCTGAAAGGAGAAGGAATACGTCAAGTGTCACAGCAGTAACGAGCAGGGGACCGTAGGCATGCCGTCTAGAGGGTGGCCTCATGGACCCAGTGCTCCCTGGAAGGAGTAAGCTGCTGAAGAGCACAAGCCCCGCGAGTCCACTTACACACAGTCCAAAGTGGTGTGTATGTAAACAGTGTGTTATTCAGGAATACCTACTTGGCAGAACGACTTTTTTAAAAATCCAGAGAATGATAAACACAATATCAGAATTGTGGTTACCCCTGGGATGGGGAGGGAATATCACTTAAAAGGGGGGTCCCGGGTCTCAACAGTGTCAGAGGGCTTTGTTTCTTAAGCTGGATGGTGAGTACACCAGCGTTAACTCTTTATTATCCCTGAAGCAGACATATTTTGTTATATATGCTCTTTCATGAAATATTTTTTAAAAAACACTGCCAAACTACATTCTTAAACTGTTGAGAATAATTTAAGTTATTTCACTGTTTTGCTGGAGAGACTGAGCTAGGGTGACGCATCATCTCAACTTTTTCCTGAGCAGGGGTTTCCCAGGCCCCAGGCTTCTCAGTGCACAGGAGTCTCAGGCCAACCGGCAAGTCACTCACTCCAGTTAACGTTCCAGCAGCAGGGTGGCCAACAAAGTGACCATATTCCAAAGGGAAAGAAGACAAAATAGTCCCCAGTCTAAATGGAGATTTAGGTATCCTAACTGTTATAAACATTCAGTTCAGGTTTTTTTCGGTAATGAAAGAAATAAAATGACTTAGAGGTAGATAAATCACAAAAGTTTGTGAGTCAATGCATAATCCCTCAGACTTGCTTGGAAAATCACTCATGCTCTGGACCTTAGTAAGAGGAATTTCAAGTAATGGGAAATATGGTCTAGTCCAAGACTGTTTGAAGCAGTAATAATAAAGAGCAAAGGAAATTTAAGTTACTTCTCCTTCTCACTATACTGGACGGCATCTCTGATTAGGGTGAGGCTCACAGGAGAAGCAGCCACGCACCCAAGGCCTGCTGCCCTCCCTCCAGCCCACCTCAAGCTGCCGTCAGTTACCACCCGGAAGTACAGCTCTCATCACATCCTACTCTTCTCCAAAGCTTTCAGTGGCTCCTAACTGTTCACAGAATAAAAGACCGAATTCTTAGCATGGGACTGACGGTCAGCTACAATCTCTCCTCAGGCTGTACCTCCACTTCAACTCTCACAATGACAGCGCACCTCCAGTACTGGACAACTCTCTACGGGTTCACAGAAAAACCAACTAGAGCCTCAGACTGCAATACACTTCTCTGCGTCTCTATCTGTCAAAACTTATTAATTCTCCAAGGCTGTGTCCATGCTACTTCCTGTCTGCATAGCACCGTAGCTCTTTATTTACACCTCTGTTTTTATTACACTCCGTCTTGTATTTGTATGTTTGCTTCGCTGTGAATTCCTATCTACTTATCTCTCTACCACCTTGAGGCACCAGTCTGTAAATTAAGATGTCTGAGTTGAATGAACTAAGTCCGGGATACGAAGCGGAGCCAACGGGCTACGCAGGACGTGCACAGGGGTCTCACAGTCTGATCCCGCCTTCAGCAACATTAATGCTCCTGCCATCCTTAAAGGGGAGGGATTATTGCTTGCAGACCCGATGAACTTATGAGCTGAACTAATTTATAAAATGATTTGGCTGCTAATTATACTTTTTCCTCTCTCCTAGGAGCTACTTTTTCATTCCTTCTTTTACCTTTTTTCTCCCTGTACCTTCATTATTTTTGCTCCCACAGCAAATGGCACACAGGGACACTCACTATATATTAAATACATAGTAATAATGGCATCAAAATTATAATTTCAGAATCACTAGATTAAAAGAAATTAAAATTTTCTTTATTACCACTCTAGAAAACTAAGGTTTAATACAATATATCCAAAACACCAATTCATCTAAACAAAGTATTATTGGTCGATCTATAAAATACTAACTCCCTAATACTAACCTTTGGGCATATTCAAAGGATATGAGCATAGAGAGAACAAACGATGAGAAATTCTCTAGAGAAATGACTTCACACATCTGTTCTACTGTAGCATTATATTTTTACTGTGCGTGTATTATACAAAACCGCCTCCAAGATCTATGCTGGCAGCATCTACTGTGTTGTTTAGTGCCTCTTTTCTAAAGTGTAACAAAATACATTTCTCTAGAAATTTAGTGCTAGGAAAATGTCTTTCTAGAAAAATTGGAATGCTTATTGTTATTCTGAAAGACAAATACGCTGTACTTCCAATTCTGCAAATAATTCCTATTCTGCAAAGATAAATAATAGGCTCCTTTCTGCTGTGGTTGTCATGCCAACGCAGAGCTAGGCTTTGTGCTGGCACCTTCCTAACCTTTGCTTCATGGAATTTTCTATCTCACACCCGAAACCATCATCACCTGACTCATGTTTTTAATCTATTTCATGGCATTTTTGGGTGTCCTTACTTATAAACCTCTTCAAACTCTTTCTGGATATGAATAGGCACAAATGTGAAATGGGTAAAGATACAGGCATTAGCAAAAAGAATGAAGTGTTTGCATACCTTTGAAGCTTTCTTATCCTTGGAGCGTTTTGGATTTGATAATGAGGACATTAAAATTCTATTGATTTCAAGTCCAGTTTGAAGCTATAATATTAAAGAAAACAACTTGATAAAACTGATTTTTAAGAAGCTTCTTCAAAAACATAATGAGAGATGAAATTTCAGTTGATAAAGATAAAAATGCTTTTTGAGGAAGAAAAGAAAACCCGAAATACTATTTTTTTGTGTGTTCAAGTTTGTAAGTCTCTTGGTAATTACAACCATTTTGTATTTATAGGAGAATGGATTATTTAATACATATACATCCATCAAACTGAAACAATCTATACCAAAAATTATTTCAAGTGCGAATGTATATAATATATGTCATGATTGCAAAAGACCAAAAGACCTCTTGGAAATGTCCCCAAGAATATGAATACTGGCTGACGTTATTAAGAATTTCATTGCAATAGCAGAAAGAGACGAAACCAATGAAACTAGAAAGACGCAAGTGGAGTCTAGAAGACAGGCTGAGTCAGTGAAGCAGGGATGGTGACGCACGTGGCCCAAGGGACAGGGTGCAGGGCATCACCTCGGCAGCTCTGTCCCGAAACAGCTCCCGATGATGTTCTTCCTCCTGGAGTTTTCCCTCTAAATGTTTAATCCTGTCCTGCAGAAGAAGGAAAAAACTGGAACAATTAAGTAAAAACTAGACCACACATCCTCTGTTCCCATTCCAGAGAGAGTCCTTAGGGTCTCGATTTTTAACTGTTTGGCAAAGTCAAGCAGAGTGAGAAGAAGGAAGGCAAAAGATGCTGCTTTTTCTTGGCTTCCTTCTGACGCTTCTTTACCTGCTAGTCCACCTAAGAACAAACGGAAAGCAAAGGACGACCCTCAAGGGCATTGTTAACTTGCAGCAACACAGCCACAGTGACGAAGCTTCCGGGTAACTGAAGGTCTGAGGGATCAAACAATTACAGTCCTGGGTCTCAGTGTTTCATTCAAAACATAGATAAATCACAATAAGCGTCTATCACATGCACATGATAAGGGAGCAGTTGTTGGAGGGGAGAGAGGACAGGAAGACATCTAAGAAATACAGGATTATGTTCCCTGCCACTCAAGCTGATACTGCACTTAGGGAAACAGTAGCAACATACATGACACAATTAGACAGTAAAGTATTCCTTGAGTACTTCTTGTACCCATGGTGTGGTCCAGAACAAGAGGGTGGTGTATTCAAGGGAGAGCTTCCTGAGTGCCGAAGAACTCACGGGAAGCTCCACAGAGGAAGCAGGGTCTTGGCAAAGTCCTGTGCAATGGAGAGGATTTGGGTGAAAAAGGAGAAGTCATTTCAGGCTGGCATCTAGGACAGGCTTAGCTGCAAGTGGAGAAGGGCACACAGATCTTTTCAATATCCTTCAGGTAAATCACCTGACAAATGAAAATATTCTGCCATCTCAGAAGAAGCCAAAATTGCAGTTTCACATCGCAAGGCCAGCTCTTCGTGCCATGACAGAATCCATTAACATTCTGTGTTTGTAGGCAGGAATTCAGATCTGGGTTACTACAAGTTGTTAATGAAGTTTTATAAACCTAAGATTGACTGTATATTCACATATGGTGCCAATCACGCTTAACATCAAAGATCTATTCCCGGCATCCCCACTTAAAAGGAACAAGTGGAAGCTCACCTCGGCAGTTTTCTGAGTTGTTGTGAGTTTAAAACATTCTTTTTCTAAGACACTGAGCTTTTCAAGTTTTGCTTGCAGCTTCAGACGATCTTTTTCTTTTTCCCTTTGAAGCTGGGCCTGGAAGGGATAAAAACAAAACCTGAACTTGGCAAGCGAAGCCAATGGCTCAAGAATAAATACATTTTCTGAGAATTCAAAGTACAGTATAAATCTGTCATAAGAAACAAGTACACACATGTACATACCTTAGGTACTTAAGAGAAAAAAAGATCAAATACTTTTAAAGAACAAATATAATTTGCCAAAAAAAAGATGCTATATTAGCACCAATGGAATAAACTCCTCTATGCGTCTTTATACACCATTTCTAAGGAGACCCTCATCGGTGGAAGGTACCCGAACTGCTCCTCACAAGGCAGCCGCACCTGCTTGCTGACGACCTGCTCTCTGTGACACGAGGAAGCAGCTGTCAGAGGAACAGAGCACACAGAGAACATAGAGAAGAGGAAAGTCATGCATACACATTGCATGTTGTTTTGTAATAGCCTTTGTTACCACACTAGTGTGATGGCAATAGCAGGGGGGCAGAGGGTACTCTGTACTATTGCTCTATTTTCTTTAATGTTGAAACTGCTCTAAAAAAATCAAGTCTATTAAAAAACAAAACACGTTTTAAAACAACCAAATAAACAGAGTCTTGACATATGGTCTAACGTTCAATTGGAGTCACAGAAAGAGAGGACAGAGAGGTCAGATAAGAGTAATTATTTTAAGGATAATGGTTAAAAATGTTCCAGATTTGGTGAAAATATTAAGTAATAGATTCAGAATCTCAAAAAAAACCACAAAAAACTCCCAAAACAAAACCCCAAGCAGGATAAATACAAAGATAAACCACATTTGGGTACATCATTATTAAATTGCTGAAAACCAGAGATGAAGAGAAACTCTGAAAACCAGCCTGAGAAATGACGATGCATTACGCACAGAGCAAGGAAAGCAGCCGGTCCCGTTCGGGACCATGAGAGAGAGACGACGACCGGGGCAACATTTCCAATGCACCGATGGAAAAAAGGCTGAACCCAGAATTCTAGAACCAGTTGAAAGTGTCCATCACCCGTGATGATGAAATAAAGGCTATCCTGGACAAAAACATGCTAAGAGAATTCCCAGCATGTTTATAGAAGTACGTCCGACTGAAGGAAATGACACCAGATGGAAAGTCGAATCTACACAAGGAAATAAAAAGCACTAGAAATGGTAAAAATGTGAATAAACATATATTTCTTCTTGTTTTTTAATCTCCCTTAAAGGACAGTTGGCCATTTAAAGCAGAAAGAACAATGTCTTGTGGCTTTTACAACATGCATAGAAAAAATGTAGCGCAGAGGAGTAACCGAAGCGCGCTGGAGAAAGGGCCGGACATCCCGGGAAGCGGCCCGCGCGCGGCGTAAGGCGGGGATATGCACTTTGACCCGCAGAGCAGCTACTGAATGGGAGGGTCGGAAGAGGCCCCAAGAGGAAGAGGAGGGGCAACAGAATTCAAAAAGACAATTTAGAAAACATTTTTTTGCTGAAAGATAATGAAAAAACAAAATGTCCAAATCTGTGGGATGCAGGTGAAGCACTGTTTAGAGGGATCGCTTTAGTCACAAAATACAACACTTCAAAAGAAACAATAAAAGTTTTAAAATCAGTAAAAAAAAGGAACATACAAAGGTAGGGGAAAAAACAGCAAATTAAGTCCTACATGAGTAGAGAAAGGAAATAATAAAGTGGCAATGAAACAGAAACAAAAATTTAAGCTTTTTAAAGAAAGAAGGTAGATTGATAAATTTTAAGAAGAGTGAAAATACAAATTGCAATATCATGAATGAAACCTAGAACATCTCTGTAGACACAAGAAGAAATACAAAATCTGAGTGGCCCTATGTATGTTAAGTACGTTGAATTCATACTTTAAAAACACTCTACATAGAAAACTCTAGTCCCAGGTAGCTTCTATCAAATTTTAATTCTATGAAACATGTAAGGAAGAAGTAATAATAGTCCAACATAACGTCTTTCAGAAAATAGGAGAAAAAGTAATTTTCCCAACTAATTTTATGAGGCCAACAAAGCCATGACGCCAAAACCAGACATTGTAAGAAAATCACAAACCAAGATCGCTCACGGACATAGTCATTAAGTAAAAATACTGAAGTGAAATATTAGCAAACTGAATCAAGCAATGTAGAAAAGAATGTATCAAGATCAATTGGGATATACACCAGGAATGTGACATTGGTTGACATTTGAAGATCAAACTATGTAATTTACCATGTTAACAGTAAAGGAGAAAAATCGTTATGACTCTCTCATTAGATGCAGAAAAAGCAATTCACAACATTTGATACTTATTCATGATAAAAACGTTCGGCAAACTTAGAAGGCAATTTGTACAACTTGGTAAGAGACAGCTATGTAAAACTTATAGATGATGTCACACTAGTGAAAGACTGGCATCTTTTCCCCAAAGATCATAAATAAAGCAAGGATGTCAGTCCTTTTCACTTGTAATTAATAGTGTATTATTAGTTGTAATAGCCAGTGCAGTAAGGTGAGAAAAAACTAAAATAAAAAAGCCATAAATGTGGGAAAAGAAGAAATAACTCTTTATTCACAGATGACATAATTGTGTATATAGAAAATCCTTAGAAAATATGAAAATTACTATAATAAATAGATGTAGCAAGGCCACAGGATACAAAGTCACACAAAAATTAATTATATTTTTATATACTAGTAAAAAAATGAAAAAAATTCACTCCTGCTCTTAATAGCATTAAGAAAACAAAATTCTTAGAGATAAACTTAACAAAAGATTTGCCTCTCATTAAAAACTACAAACTACTATGAAGAGAAAGAAGATTAAAAAAATAGAGAAATACACCATGCTCGTGGATTGGAAGATCTGACATTTCTGAGATGTAAATTTTCCCACAAATGATCTATAGACTTAACAAGATCCCAGTCAAAATGCCTGGGGATTTACTTTTTAGAAAATGCCATACTGATTGTAAAATTTATATATAAGTGCAAAGACTCTATAATAACCACAATAACCTTTAAAAAAACACAGCTGGAGGACTCACATTACTTGATTTCAAGACTTCTTACAAAGTTACATGGTATTAATATAAAGATAGACCCAGAGATAACAGAGTCCCCGAAACAGACTTTATCCATACAGTCAATTGATTGTTGGCAAAGGTGCCAAAACAATTCAATGGCAGAAAGGAAAGTCTTTTAATAAACGGTGCTAGAAAAACTGGACATCCACCTGGAAAAAATGTAACCTTGAACATTTTCTCTCACCATGCAAAAATTAATTCCAGATGAATCACAGAGAAAATGAAAACTAAAAGCTTCTAGAAGAAAATATTTTGGAAAACACTTTGGTAATTCCTTATAAACATACGCCTACGCTGTGACTCAGCAATTCTGCTACTAGATATTTACCCAAGAGAAATTAAAACATATGCCCACAGAAAGATTTGTACAAGAATGTTTATAGCAGCTTATTCATAATTTCTCCAGACAAGCCAAATACCCATCTACAGAAGAATGGATAACCAAATTGTGGCATACCTATAAATGAATCTCTATCTGATAATAAAAAGGAATGAATTACTGACACATACAACATGGACTTATCTCAAAGACTTTGTTAAACGAAAGAGTGCATTTTCCATGATCCAATTTAAATGAAGTTCTAGGACAGGCAAAATAAATCTAAGGTAAAATAAATAAGGATAGTAGTTGCCTTCTTGGGAGGTGGGGAGAAGAGCAGGGAATATCAGAGAATTTCTGGGGTGATGAAAATGATCTATTATTTCAAAGGGCTGTGGATTACACAAGTATATGTATTTCTCAATAATCACTGAACTGTACATTTAAGATCTGTGCACTTCACTGCATATAAATTATACCTCAATAAAAACACTTTAAAAACTATTATAGTCACTGATCTACAATATTTACCTAGGATAGGAATTTCTATGTTATTTTATATAGTAAAATAACAATTCTATAGATAAAGTGGTTGTTCCGAGATTGTTTATCCTCATTTACACTCAGAATTGTCAGACTTTTAAATTGTTTCCAATCTGGTAGATGCAAGTAGTATCTTGTGCTTTTAATTTGCATTTCCCTCGTTACTAATGAGATAAATCAACTTTTCTATACAGGTATGACCACTTTTCTTTTTTCCTGCAAAGTGCCTCTTCATAACCTTGTCCATTCTTCTACTGCTTTGCTACTTTCTGTGTCTTGTTTAAGAAATCCCTCTATACCCCAAGGTCGAAAAGACATTATTCTGCATTTGCTGCTAAAAATCACAAAATTTTGCCTTTTACATTTAAGTCTTTAATCCATTTGGATTCATTTTCTGTATGATGTGAGGAAGGGATCCAAATTCATTTTTTTTTCTCACACGGATAATCAATTTTTCTAAAATAATTTATTGAAATCTATCTTTTCCCCAATGATTCGCAATGGCACCCTCGTATACTGAGTTTCCATATAAGTGGGTCTGTTTCTCACTATATTCTACTCCTTTATTCTACTTGTCTATCCATACAAATATCATGCTAATTTTGATAGCATTATAATTTTTTCGGTATGTAATAGAGCAAGATCTCACCTTATTCTTCTTCGGAATAGTTTGGCTATTTCTGGACCTTTGCTTTTTTGTATGAATTTTAGAATCAACCTTTCTAGTTCCTTGAAAAACCTATTAAATACCTGACCATTAAAATCCAGTATTGATTGGCACTTTTACCCATTTCTAAGACAATGCAAAGACATTAGAACACTTTATACTACATTTACCCCTTCCTAATTTATAAGCCATTGTTCTCATTAATTTTAACCTTTTATATAAACATTACATAAAACATTATGATTGTTGTTTTATATAATATTTAGATTTACCATTTTCGCTGCTCTTCATTCCTTCCTGCATTTCTGACCTTCAGCCCAGATAATTTTCCTTACCTGAATAATGTCCTTTAGTGTTTCTTTTAGAATGGATCTTCTGGTAACACATTATCTCAGTCTTTGTTAGTCTTAAAATGTCTTTATTTCTGAAGGATATTTTTCCCAGGCATAGGTGTCTAGATTGTCAGTTATTTTCTTTTAATACCTTAATTGTATAAATCAATTGTCTTCTGGATTCAGTAATTTCAGTTGAGAAGTCAACTGTCACTCTAATTGTCCCTCAAAATGTAATTTTTTCCCCAGCAGCTTTTAAGATTTTATCATTATCTTATTACTTTATTATGAGGAGTCTAAGGCATATATTTCTTTTTATTTACCTGATTTGGTTTTATACAGCTTCTTGAATCTGTTGTGTGATTCTTTTTAAAAATTAGTTTTGGAAAATTCTTAGCCACATGTCTTCAAAATTTTGCTTCTGTCCAATTCTCTTTCCTTTCTTTTTGGAACTCCGATCACAAGTAAGGTTGTCTATTCACTCTAACTGACGCCTCTCGCTCTCTCCTGAATTCACTATCGTTTTGTCTCTTCACTGGTCTAGTTGGAGTCACAATCTCTCTAAACTGCTGTTAGATTCATGTACTGAGTTCTAAATATCAGGTATTGCATTTTTCAGTTCTATGATTTTTATTTAGTTCTTTCTCAAATATTGCTTTGCCATTTTATAGTTTCCAATGTTCCATTAAAAATTTCTATCCTGTCTTTTATCTCCTTGATTATAGCAAGCATAATCATTTTAAAGTCTGTTTTTTAGAGCTAGTACTCGGCTGGAGTTAACTTCTGAGGGTATTCATATACTGTTAGGTTGTCTTTGGAATTTTTTCGCTGTGTCGAAGAAACATTTATAGGAATAATACGATGTCCCTGAGAACATCAGCAATCCAGGGGTACCTTAATCCAATTTCAGAAATGAAGATTTTCTGGAAAACCCAGAGCAGAGTTATAATCTGGGTTGTTCCTTCTTGTTCATCCTTACAAAGCATTCAGGGCACAGGATATTTACCAGGGTTCCTACGCTTGGTAGGCCCTGGACTCTAACTTTAATTTCCTTAGTCCTATAGGATGGATGCCAAAAACATTATTTAGCCTCTCAACTGATTATTCTGGAATCGGAAATGCCCTAAGAAGAGAGGGGACTGAAACCAGCTTCTCTGGAGGCTCACCTTTTTGGATTTAAGTCTGCACACAGATTCCAAAGTGGTGATTTTTCATCCCCTTGTTAATTCTCAATGCCTTTGTGTATTTTTTATTTTTTTCCTTTTTTCTCCCTCCCTCCCTTTCTTTTCTTTTGTCTTTCCATCCTTCTTTCCTTTCTCTTTAATATCCTGTCCACTCTTTCCTGTTTCCCTCTGCAGAAAGGCTGGTCCAAATGAACTAGTGTGCATCACTGTCAGCAGAAATCTAATACTGCTCTAGATTCTACTTACGGTTATATGACGGCTTTCCCATGACAGTGAATGTTCTTCAGAAACACTGAATCATTTTATTTTCCAATAGAAAGTACATTCACCTGCTGCTCGAGGATCATACTCTTCTCCCGCTCTGCGTTGAGAACCATTCTCTTTGCGCACGCGAGCTGCTTCTCTAGAAGAGCGCAGTGAGCCTGCGCCGCGCTGAGCTGTGCGCTTACGTCTATGAAAAAGAAACAGTAACAGTGAGTCGGTTAGTTGATTAGCACGTACATCTGATTCGCTTATCACAAGGAATGAATTACATGAATTCAATCAGGAGCTAAAAGGCCAAAGCTTCTTTCGTCCTAAATGCCGACCCTCTCAGGGCCGGTCTCTCCCCGTCGGCGCGTTTCTTCCCTCCCAGGAAACCCAGGCCTGTGTTCTCCCCGGCGTCCACTCCGCTCTTGGCCACTGGCAGGGAAGTTAATTCCTTAACAAGTAAGCCATCTCTTTCACATTCTTTAATTTTAGTACTTTCCTCAGCTCTTTCCTTCAATTTTGTCCAATTACCTCAGAACATTTTTCTCCCAATTTTTTCATTCTATTTGTAAGTTGAAACACAAGCTTGAACCTTATGTATGAAATTTTATAAAGAACTTACCTTCTAAATCCCTAAAGCCTGTGTCCAGATGTCCTTTCCATGACGTCCACAGATACCTCCACCTGCCTGCCCATTTCCTCTAATTAACCTTCAGAGTTAAATAAAATCCTCATTTTTGTTACTAGATTGTTTTATTCTAATTTCTAAACACAACTGTCTAAAACTTAATTTTTCTTTCAATCTCAAGGATTTATGAATGGGTGTAACAGATATAATAGAGGTAAGTTCAAAGTTATATCCATCTATTGCAATTATCAAAATGTCTGAGAACAAAGACTCAAGTTTTGAATGTATATACGAACAAAGATTTGAGTGAATTCTCTTAGACTGTGCTTATGATTTTCACACTTGTAAACTTTGGTTAACCCCTTGTTTCTGAGAACTGCTGAATTTTCTTACCTTTTTTCTGCTTCATGAGCTCCTGCTGTGCCAGATTTCTCTCGTTTGTCTCACTGTCCAAGGCCTTTTTATACTGCGCCGCTTCTCTGGAAAGAATGGTCAGGTTATCTTCAGCTTGTGTTCTCTCCAACTCTAAACGGTGGATCTTTTCCTGAAGAGCTTTTAAGGCTAAAATAAGAGCTGTTGGAAAAAAATCGCCTGATATTTTAAGTAAGAATTTTTGAACACCAATCATACATAGTAGCTTATAAAAGTGAGCTTTATATTTTTGTGAGCCAGAAAAATATACAAGTAATGTATATTCTTCACAAATGACTAAAACGCTAAAGGACAAACTTTCTCTAATATAGCTTGCAAAAAATAATGTATTTATGATTTTATTTAGTAATTTTTCTAGGTTTGAGAAAGCTAATGACAATAAAATAAATATTTTCAAGTTAAAAGAATTAAAAAAGATAATGTACACTCTGGGAGACATAAGATTCTGAGTATGGATTAAGAAATTAAAATATAGTGTCCACTAATTAACATGGAAATGTGGGTTTAAAGTTAAAGGTTTTTCTCAGTTCTTTGTGTGTTCAGTTTCAGTCAAACCACAAACACTTATTGTTTCTTTGTCCAAGATACAGTGTTAATAATCAGGACATAAGAGGTAGAACACAGTTTCTTTTTATAACTATACAAAAGTTATAACCTAGTGGTTCAACTGATGTCTTCCACATCAGTTGTAAGGCTTGAAAGATTATAAGCAGTATACATGTACCACTGTAATTTTTATTCAGCTGTATTAATACCTTCATGATTCCAATAAGCTCAGAGCTATAAAATTCTCAAATATTATCTTGCACTTTCTATTCGGTTATAAACTGAAACCATAAAGCTACAGTTGGACTATAACTACACATTGTAGGTTAACTTTAATGGAATTTATATCCAATTAGGAAGTGTTTTCTTGGGGATCACTGTCTTACAAATGAGGAATTGGATTGATCTTTCTTTATGTGGCACCTATAGCTCGCAGACTTTGAGTATTATTTCTCGTGGTTGCTCTACTTCACAAAGCCAGGCTACTTATTAATGGCGACCACTGTTATAGAATATTAAAAAGCAAGATGATAATCAGCATTTTAGAGAATGATTTATATGGCATATTATAGCATGGAGTCATGTGTTTTCCTAATTCTATTTTAAGAGCCTCTTAACTTCATATTTTAAAAGTTACAATACTAGTAGTTTATAGTTACTCCAATGTACCAGTTTCCTAAGGAATTTTCAAGGGTAATTTTGGATAGATGCAATTTCTGCATTTAATCCTTGAATAAGACATGGCTACTTAATTCACCAGTAGTACAATCATCTAGTATAGCATTCTATATGCTACCTTTTATTCTTCAAAGAATATTTTCTTATTTTCTATGTTTTTATAATAAACCTGTAATATGTGTCCAGATGGTTATATTAATCTGCATTTTATAGCTTAAGAAGCCAAAATATAAAATGTTAAATAACTTATCTAAGTAAGCCTCTTAACTTCATATTTTAAAAGTTACAATACTAGTAGTTTATAGTTACTCCAATGTACCAGTTTCCTAAGGAATTTTCAAGGGTAATTTTGGATAGATGCAATTTCTGCATTTAATCCTTGAATAAGACATGGCTACTTAATTCACCAGTAGTACAATCATCTAGTATAGCATTCTATATGCTACCTTTTATTCTTCAAAGAATATTTTCTTATTTTCTATGTTTTTATAATAAACCTGTAATATGTGTCCAGATGGTTATATTAATCTGCATTTTATAGCTTAAGAAGCCAAAATATAAAATGTTAAATAACTTATCTAAGTTTATGGAAACTAACAGAGTCAAAATTCATAGCCTTATTAAGATTTAATACACAATCACATTATTTTCTACATAAATACTTGGTACCATTCCCCTCATTTAAAGTAAGATTTTATATTAGCATTACCTTGGCTATTTGGACTATGAAGCGTTTTAGGAGAGGTAACTTCTAAGTTCACAGGACGGTGAGTCTGAGCTGATTCATCACTCTCAGTGAATGACGGAACAACTACTCTTTCTGGAGGTTTAAGGTAGCTTCCTACTATACTGTGCATTAATTCAGAATCCATTACCTGTAGAGAATAAAGGAATGATATAGAAGGAAGGAATGAATAAAGGAATGACATAGAATAGCTTCATTCTTTCCTGTTTGAGTGGCAAAAGTATTAGACAAAAATTTAGGTGAAACTTTAATATATAATCACATACCATGGAGCTGTATCTTTGTGAATCATCACAAATTAAACTATAACAAGCTCAGCAATAAAAGAAAACATTTACTGTACAAACAGTATACACAATTCTTCTTCACTTTCAATGAGCATATATCCAGAGTGAGTGATTTGCTGGTTTCTCAGTTGATTATAGATTCATATACCTCTTTTCATCTGAGCAGCTCTCTACAAACAGTGTAACTCTAGGGTTCCAAGAGAAAGTACATAATCTAAAACACAACAGTTTTGAAACACAAGCCACCCACATAATCTGATTTTCTAAGACTGTGTGTTGACCTCCAAAGTGCTGGCTTCCCAAGGGATTTTTAAGGGTAAGTGGATATTTCGGTTTCTGAGTCTACCCCTTGACTACCACTACTGCTCTCATCATCTCGTGCAGAAGGGTCACAAATCTGAAGAATCTAAACTAGCTTTGGCATTCCGGGCTTTCACTTTTTGTTGTTCATCTGTTTGTGGGAAAGAAGCCCTTTTAACCATCTTGGTAGGTAGTTTTTGGTTTAACTTTCCCAAATCATTTTATTTTTCTTTCTGTAATATGAATATTTTAGAAATGTATTCCACTTAATAGGTTATAGTTAATGCTAATTAAATTCATAACTACACTGGAACAGGATAATTATTCACATAAAAACAATTCACAAGCACAATTTTAAGAAAGCTGTTTTAAAATGTAAATTTAGAATTCCATTATATAAGAAGGTTGTTTCAATTTTTAAACACTGCATGTTTTAAGAGATTTCACTACCTTCCCAATTCACACGGCAAAAGAGACATTTCCCATGACTACATTTTCTAGGGGGGCAGAGGACACGTTTCACTCAACAGGATTTTCACCTTAGCCACTGCCATGATTGGTTGTCTCAGGACACTCAGATTGGTCTAAAGCAAAGGTTATAGAGCCTAGAAGTTTTGCTAGGATACTTGATGCTCTGTGCCCCTGAAAGGTGACCAGGCTTTGCTGTTGTTGTCATCACCAGCTGCCGTTTACTGACCATGCCTCCATTCCCCCAGGTTGCTGCTGCTCAAGCTTGGTCTGCATCTAAGTCGCTGTTCCCTCAAAACACAACAGAGCAAAGTCGTCACAGAAACTCTGAAAATGGTTGTGTATCTTCACAGAGAGGTATGTGGCTGAAGCTACCCCAAGAACCTTGTGGTTACTCAGTATATCTGACTCAGTTTTCAGCTCCTGATGAGTTTCCCCATTACGAAAAGAAAAAGAAATCTCACCATTGGTCACTAACACTGAAGTCTTCAGGAGGAAACTGTCAACTTCCTCTGTCCCAAATATATTATTTTACAAATCGGATTTTGTAACCAATTAAAAAAATACGTTCAAAACTGAGGTTTCTAAAGTAAATGACTACTCACAAGATGCCAATGGTAAGTTAAAAATTAGATTAAAATTTGAGTTAAATGTGTAAACACATTTTAAATTGGACATAAGGAATCTTTTGTGGTTCCATACAAATTTTAGGAATACTTTTCTAGTTCTGTGAAAAATACTATTGGTATTTTATAGGGATTCTACTGAATCTGTAGACTGCTTTGGGTGGTATGGATGATTTAACAATATTAATTCTCTCAATCCATGGGCATGGTATGTCTTTTCATTAATTTGTGTCATTAATTTCTTTTATCAGTATTTTATAGTTTTCATAGTACAGGTTTGTCACCTCCTTGGTTAAATTTATTCCTAGGTATTTTATTCTTTTTGATGCAATTGTAAATGGGATTGTTCATTTCTCTTTCTGCTGGTTTGTTATTAATGTATAAAAATGCAGTATGTTTCTGTATATTAACTTTGTATTCTGCAACTTTACTGTACTGAATTCATTCATTAGTTCTAACAGTTTTTTGATGTAGTCTTCAGGGTTTCTTACATATATAGCATCATGCCATCTGCAAATAGTGACAGTTTAACTTCTTCCTTACCAATCTGGATGCCTTTTACTTCTTTGTGTTGTCTGATTGCCATACCTATGACCACCAGCACTATGTTGAATAAAAGTGGCGAGAGTGGGCATCCTTGTGTTGTTCCTTATCTTAGAAGAAAAGCTTTTTCAGCTTTTCACCCGAGTATTATGTTAGCTGTGGGTTTGTCATACATGGCCTTTATTATGTTGAGGTATACTCCCTCTGTACCCACTTTGTTGAGTTTTTATCATGAACAGATGTTGAATTTTGTCGAATGCTTTTTCTGCATCTATTTAGATTACTATATAATTTTTGTCTTTCATTTTGTTAATGTGGTTTATCGTGTAGACTTATTTGCATATATTGAACCATCCTTGCAGGCCTGGAATCTCACTTGAACATGGTGAATGATCCTTTTAATGCAGTACTGAAGTCAATTTGTTAATATTTTGTTAAGAATTATTGCATAGATCACTCTTGATATTACGCAAATCTGAGAATGGCCAACGCTTACTGAATTTTACCTGTGATACTGTACATGCCATATCTCATCTAATCCTTCTACCAAGCCTATGAGGTAGATATTATTATCACTATTACATTTTTATTATTCCCATTTTTTAAATAAATCAATAAAGGCAGAGAGGTCAAGCAAGGTCATATAGCTTGAAGTGGTAGAACCAAGGCTTGAACCCAGGCAGTTCGATACCAAAGCCTGGTTGCATCGCTGTGTTAAAAGGCCTGTAGTTTGAGGACGTTTGCAGTCAGCCGGGTGTGAGATGATCCTGTGTATGGATCAGTGTGGTGACAATGGAGATGAAGACAGTGTATTGAAGCAAGACGGATTCTGAAGGTGTAGCTCCTGAACTGGATCAGGAGGAGAAGGGAGACATCAAGAGACTCCTAGGTTTCCAGCTCGAACAGTCGGGTGCATGATGGTGATGCTCACTAAAATGACAAAGATAACGGCCGGTACTCACACCATACTGATATGTGTCAAACACTATTCTAAGTGTGAGACATCCAAGCTGAGATGTGAAATAGGTAATCGGATACAGGAGTGTGGAGTTCAGAGGAGAGGTCCAGCCTAGAATAGAAATCCTGACACGGTCAGCATATGGATGGCATATAGAGTCAGAGAATACCAGAAGCCAGCTAAAGGGACAGCATGAACAGAAAAGATTTCAGATAAGGAAGGAGAACAAGAGAAAGAGAAGCGTGTGAAGTAGAAGCCAGAAATCTCTGGCATCAGAACTTCTACAAAGCCATCAATTGTCATTAATTTGCATTATCTTTAATGTATTTATTAATTATATTTGTGTGATTTAATTCAGTTGCTTTAACAAACAGTTTCATTTTAGCCCTGTCTGCACACATCTGCCCTCCTCTATAGCTCCTTAGGAGCAAGGGACCATATATTCGCTTTTCTTTTATCCACTGTATTTATTACATGGTAATTATTCGCTAAGCATCTGTTGCACTTAATTCAATTAGTGTAGTAGAAATACATAAAATACATCTAATAGTTAACACTTATTTGCATAGGTAATGGGCACCTTTTACTTCTTTGAAATAAGGACTTACCCTTAAATTATACTTGGCAATACTTTTTCTTTCACTGTGCCTTACAATCTTTGGCTTTTTAGATTCAGTTAATAAAATCTTTATAAAAATATACATGAAGAACACTTTTCTCATGTTATTAAATAAATAAATGCAACGTACTGATCACGGATCTCTACAAAAAGATGCAGAGGAGGTGTCCCCAGCAGACGGCTCCCCTGCTCTATGAGATCGGTGCGCTAGGCCTCGAGGGCCAGAACTTCATTTTATTTATCTTCGTATTTCTAATAAGTGCTCCCTAGGGGTTCAATACAGATGAGCTAAATGAAAAAGACATTTGTTTGGGGGAAGGGAACAACTGGGGAGAAGGGATGATCCATGTTATAAAGGGAGAAAATAAATTATAAAGACTTGACTTAAAGAAATAAAATGAACTATACCTATCATTCTAATATTTAAAGATTACAAATCTACAACTCACTAAAGAGTCCTACTATTAACACTATTTACCAAAATGTTTCCTATGAAGCACTAGCTTCACTGGATATTAATTGGAGCTACTCTCTAAATTAAATAGATTTCCAGGCAACTAAATTTGGGGAAATGGGTAAAGTAAATTAACCAACTTTTTCACCTGCAAGTTTTGTCAGTATATTTAATATTCTACTATCATTGTGAATTTCTGTAACAGGGATAGAGTATGCATTCCCCAAATTTTTTTGCAACAGAAACCTTTTTGTGGAGATCCTCTTGAGAGATTAAGATTAGCAATCCACAGAACAGACTTCAGGTAATAGCTACATACAGAGACTTCAAAGCAGCTTTACACAGGAGACAGCTATCAAAATATTATGATATATAATTGATAACACGAAATAACAACTGAAAACAGAAATAACAAAGAGCAAATTGTCTGAAGCATCCTTGGTGTACAAATAGAAATTCATGTTTCCAGTGTAGGAGAATAAAGGAAGAGAAAGAAAGAGACTTCCTACAAAAAGGGTTAAAGACTGCAGTGCTCGTGTTATTAAAGCTCACTTGATTTAGTGACTAGCCACTCTGGTATGTCTGAGTAAACGGCACCAAAGAATTGTAGTGTCCCTTCAAAGTACCCAACAGAATCATGAGATAACCGAATTATCTGGTAGGTACTGTATGTAATATTTTCTCACTAATGCAAATCATGAAATAAGGATTCATAAAAGAGACAGTAAAACTGAGCAACAGAGTTCAAACAATTGGCATAAAATTACTTTGGAGCAAGAAAAAGAATTTCTCTCTTCTACGTTCTTAGTGAATAAAATCTAAAAAAAGAACAATCACAAAAAAGATCTCATAGCCACCATCTGTCCTGCTTTGAACAGAGGAATAAAAGAAAATCCTATTAGGTTCACATACAATCAGTAAAGTGAGGGACGCTAAGTACGTTAGCCTTTGCAAACCCTGGTGTCCCCTCAAGCACTGCGGGCCTCGGCATTTGGATTCCCTGGTGTGATGGGGACAGCGGGTTCCAACTAGTCCTGCTATCTTACCTCAATGAGTAACTTCAGCTCTCCATTACTCTCTCTATATAAAAAGGGTTGACTTTAAGTAACCTTTTAGTTTTTCACTTCTCAAATTCTATTAGAAGAGATGTAAACTTACAAACATGATGATCTTTCACTGAGGCTTTTACCATCATTTTTGAGCTCTACACTTGGGGTAACACTGAAATTTGTCCAGCCACGCTGCTCTGTCTCAAACGTGAGGGCCCACGGGCCTTGCTTCTGCTGTTCTCTTCACGAGTATTCGTTCTTCCTGCGGGAATCTGAACGGCTGACTCCTCCTCCGACTTCAGATCCTCTCAAATGTCCCCTTATTGATTAGGTCTTCTCTGGAAACCTTAATTAAAGGTGAACCTTGCTCCCCACAACATTCCCCTCCATTCCCAGTTGGTTCTTATTCTTCCCCATTGCCTCTGTCTTCATTTACTGTATGTTATTTATTGTCCATTTCTCCTTAGAATGCAAGTTCTACGAAAGTAGGGATTTCTGTACATTGTGCTCAGTGGCATTGCCTTAATGTACTGTTGTGGAAGGTACTCTACAGATACAGATGAGTGAATGAATGGATGACAGGGAATCTGAGAACCAGGGACGACGATCGGTATGGCTAAAGCAGAGGGGAAGGCGGTAGACTACGTGAGGCTTCAGGTGAAGAAAGGGACCAGGTGACATTCAGCTTTACAAAGAAGTTTTGCCTTTAAGAGTTGTGGGGACACCACTGAACAGTTTTAAGAGAAAATCTGATTAGAGATGTGTGTTTTAAAAAGGTGATTCTGGCTGTTGTGTGAAGAGCTAATGAAGAGCCAGAGTGGATAAGCATGATTACAATAACCTTGGCAAGAAATGGCAGTTTGGAAAAGACTATGCTTATGTAGATGTTGGAGAAAGTATGGATTTGAGGTATACTTGGGAGATATGATTGATAGACTTAGTAACAACTTGGCTACAGAGGTATAAAGGACAGGAAGAAATCAAGAAAAATGCTTAGGTTTCAAATTTTCATTAGTGGGTGGTAGTGTCTTTAACTGAAATAGAGAACACCGGAAAAGAATCAGATTCATGAGAGATAACCATGCATTTGGTTTCAGGAATGTTCAGTTTGAGATATCCAAGAAGAAATATCAACGAAATGGATATGTGACAGCTGAAGGGCAGAGGTGGACGGAGCTGTACATGTAAGAGCCACAGGCGTGGTGAGGCCACGGGCATGGGTGAGATCACATGCAACTACGCAGTAAAAAGGAGCCCTGGACTTAAGATACTACACTACCCAGCCCTTTGCAGTCTGGACAAAGGAGGATGAGCCCAGGAGACAAAAAAGGAACGTTCTGTTGGTTTGTATTTTTACCCCTAAAACGTTCTCATTTTAAAAAATTCTGATTTAAACTAGTAGCATTCTAATGTTGCCAGGCTTTCCAAATTAGACCTATTTGTCAAAATTGTAAATCCGTTCAAGGATAGGTCACTTTCGGATACTATCTGGAAAATTCACAATATATGTCTCTCAATACACAAAAAGTTTTCCCTCCCAAAATATGTATTATTTGGCTCACTGCAGTTTCTTGAACTTTTTTTTCCTGAAAGTACCACCTTGGCGACTCCCCATATGCGGGTCTTCTGGTTTTCTACCCTGGGAGATTTCCCTGACTTTCCCAGACTGGGCTAAGAGGTCTTTCCAGCAATCTCAATGGTATCATATTGTACCGTAACCGTGTATTTAAACTTTAGTTTCTCTAACTGACGCTTAATTAGATAGGGGCTGTGTCTTTTTCACTAACAAGGCTAAATTTTTATAAACACATCTATTCTGCAGTGTGAGGAATTAAAACCTACTCGGTTATCAGTTCGTTGACGGCCTTTCACACCTTGACTTTTCTCAAGTAGAATGACTTTTCAAAAAACAGTAATCTGTCAAGAACTGATTGACTCTTAAATATACTAAATTTTGGAGGTGTTTATGGGTTTTTCATATAGTTATCCTTAAAGCCTGCAAAAATTCACATCCGGAAATACTGGGGATTCTTCCCTTTGCTCCCATACAAAACGACTTGACAACTCGCTTTCAGACAATGCGTGGGACGTCACGAGGGCAAAGAAAGCGCGGAACAGCCCGGTGCAGTGCAAGCGCCCGGGGCTCCCGAGCACCCCACGCGGGTCCCCCTCAAAGGGCGGGAGCCTCCCTCCCACCGGCCGCAGGCGCTCCATCCGACCTGGGGGGGGGGTCGGCCGCTCCCCAGGGGCCCCCGGCGGCGGGCACGCGGCCTCTCCTTCCCGGGACCGAGGGGCGCCCCCGGCTGTGCCTCTCCGAAGCCCCGGGGGGACGGGGGAAGGGAGGCCTGTCGAAGGCAGAGCGGCAGCCAGGCCGACGGTGCTCACCACGCCGACGATCCCACTCGGCCCGCGCCACCCGCGGGCTCGCCGGCGCCCCGGGCCCGCAGCTCCCCTGCGAACAGAGCGCGCCGGCGGCGCGGAGCCGCATCCCAGAAGCCAATGCGAGGGCGCCCTGCCTCCTCCGACGCGGCGTG